CTCCAAAGATATCAACTAGTCAGACTGATTTATTGACTAAATGCTAAATGGTTTCTTTCTCAGAGTTTCCCCCCCCCCCTTTCCTGTCTTCCTACCAGATCGGACTACCTTCCCTACGATATAACATATCGACCCCTGCGTGTACAAGAGGAATACAGGCCCATTGCTGGAGAAATTGACCTGGCAACCACCTACAGAAGGGATTTCAACCCTCACAAAATAGAGCCAGTAATATTAGTAAGACCTGCAGAAAAGAAATACCTTTCTAAATGCAAGCTGAATGCCATTCCAACCTACCAAGGTAATAGTGCCAATTACTTTTACCAAAGGGGAGAAAAAGTGGCCAAGGATGATGGATGAGGTTTCAAATAGCTGCTTTGGTGAGGCAGATGCTGACTTGGTTGTTGCAATGCCATCCTGATAATTTCCCTGTAACTGAAAGATGTCTAATCAGCAGTGGATACTCTTAATAAGAATAATAATAATAAAGGGACCTTGGAGGTCATCGAGTCCAACCCCCTGCTCAGGCAGGAAACCCTACACCATATTGGACAGGTGGCTGTCCAGTCTCTTCTTAAAAACGTCCAGTGCTGGAGCATTCACCGCTTCTGGAGGCAGGTGGTTCCACTGGTTAATTGTTCTCACTGTCAGGAAGTTTCTCCTTAGTTCTAGGTTGCTTCTTATTGAGAGCACATGGAAATTTAAGGTCTAATTTGGGCTCTCAGACCAAAACCTAGTTTAGTTGTCTTAGTTCTCTGAAACCACCAGAGAACTATACTGCTGATCAACTGAAGCATGTTCCATCAAACAGGCTTCCCAAAGCGTGTTTGATGGAACAAGTTTTGGGAAGCATGTTCATCAGCCACCTGTGTGATTGTAGGGGGGTTCCTGATGATCTTCCAAAATGCTTCCAGTCTGAACTTAACGAAAAATTTTGATGGAATCACAGAATTTTTGAGATCGCTTCCAGCTGTGGGCGGTTTCCTTACCTGAGCTTCATAAAGGAAGTACCCTGTAATGACCTAAAATGATTTAAGCCGATCTGATAAACATGTCCTCTTAATGAATGCTAGGTCCTAGTTAAGCATATTTTACGGGATCTAGACACGTCAGGACAACCCTGCACTCGGCATTTGCACAATATTGTAATTCTCAGGATTTCTTCTGCAAAGTCCTTTAAGATCAGGTGACATATTGTAGATACCTTATTCATACGTTCTCCTAGTAGTCAAATAGGGTGGAAGTAATCAAATATGTCTCTGTAAATTCTGGCACAGTGATTCTCAACCTTTCTAATGCCGTGACCCCATAATACAGTTCCCCATGTTGCGGTGACCCCCAAGTGGGTGTGGCCACCAATAAGAGGGAGTAGGACAGCTAGGGAAAAGGGAAAAAAATGGCGGACAGCATGGTTTGGCGACCCCCGTGAAATGGTCATTCAACCCCAAATGGGGTCCCGACCCACAGGTTGAGAACCACTGTTCTGGCAGAACCAATGATTTTGGCACATTCTCCATTCACCTTTTGTAAGCTCATCCCTGGTCTACTCTTAGATGAGGCGCATGGGAAGACTATAGTAACCTCTGTCACGAATGTAACCATTCCGTTCTTTTTATCTTAAAGCTGATTTTAAACCCTGGGAAATAGAAAAAAGGGCATCCTATAAAGTGGAGCGCAGCTATCAGCCTCCCACTGAAAAGTTTGGAAACGCCACGACCTCTCAAGATGCTTTTATTCCACGGGAACTTGCTCTCCAGAAGATCATTAAACCTGCTGACGCCACCACGCTTTCGGACCAACCTTTTGTCGGCGACACGAGTCATCGGCGCGATTATGTTCCTCATCAGCTGGAACCCAAGTGGAACAAGTCAAAAGAGGCATACCGGCCCAGTAGTCAGCCTTTTGAAAATATCACCACCCACCAGAGCGATTTCAGGGGGCTTCCCGGCGATCTTCCGAAAAGCTTCAGGCCCGAGCCTACCAAAATAGAAACAAAATCCAATTTTGAGGGAATGACAGAATTCCGCGACCGCTTTCAGCCGTGGGCAGTTTCCTTACCCGAGCTTCGTAAAGCGAAGGAGTACGCTCCCCCTACTGGTAGCATGGAGCTGAATTCCACATCCCGCCTGGATTATCCTCCTCACATCGTCAGTCCAGTGGTCCTCATGAAACCTCTGGAAAGGAGCAAAATAAGCGGCCTTCCCTTCCAAGGAAAGACAACTATGAGAGATTCCTTTCAAGCTTGGGAACTCCATCCACCAGAAATGATTAAAAAGCCCCAGGAAATCCCAAAGCCCACAGGTAAATTTGAAGACCTCACCACCTTCCGATCTCACTATACGCCACACAGTCTAATCCCAACCCAAAGCTGCAAGCCTCCAAAGGTGGCTTTGTCCAGTTCGGCACGTTTCGAGGATGAAACCATGTATCGTAGGGACTATACCCCAAAGAAAAAAGAGATCTGTCCAGCCAATTACCCCTCTCCTCCAGAATATGCCTATGTCAGCACCGATTCACGCGGCCACAAATTCTTCCGTGAGGTGACCCCAGAAGTCAGTCAGGTGGTCCATCCAAATGGCAATCACGTTCCAAAAGAAATAGCCGTGGCGTCGTAATCTCTCATGATTTGCTCTGCCCAGGGCCGAACAAATACCACGCCTTAGGCAGATTAATACGGTTGCTCTAACCATTAAAATAAGCACAGTGATTACCATGATTTGGGGAAGGTGAAAATTGAAACGTTTGCAAGAATGGTGATGGAAACTGAATCAGTATTTCTATGGGAAAAATTTTTTTCTTCAGTTGTTTGTTAAAATAATTTAGTCCTTAATGAAAATGTCTCGCTCGGCAATAACTTGACAATTTAATATACAGTCAGCACTTCTACTATGTACTGTATAGTATGATTTGAAGGTAATCTGTCTGTAGCTACCTTTTTTTTTTTTGCCAATCTATTTTCTCAAGCTAGATCCAGGAAGGAATCATTAGTTACACCTACAGTTTTTCCAGGTTAATTTCTGGTATGTTATCTTTGGTAATGCGAAGTAATGGTCACAGAAGTAGGCTAGAGTTGACCAATTATTGGCTAAAGAGGTCAACAGGAGCCAATGGTTGTTTACAAATAAGCCTATAATACCTTGAACCAAAAGTATTATAACAGCATGTTGAGTGATCTCTGAACTAGCTTGCTTTTTTTGTTTTGTTTTGTTTTTACTTTATGGGGCTTATTGAATGATAAGTGACACTTAACTGGTCACTGATCTGCATTATCAGCATATCTATACTTGCCTGAAATATGGGGCAAATCTCAACATTCTGGCATCCTGTCCTATCAACACAACTTTTGGGGTTGGAACAAGAGGCAGAGTCTTAGTCTCACTGGTCGATATCCCTTGAAGCATCTTCTTTGAAGCAAATTCAGTTGAGCTAACTACCCTGGAAAGATTTATAGGATCGTAAGTATGCCTCAGCCTCACTAGACAGATGGAGAAAAAAATTCTATTCCGTTTCAATTTGATTCAATTTCTTATTGAAAAAAAAGAGAGAGCAAGATAACATTGTAGAATGATAAATCAGCCTTTCAGATCGTTATTTCAGCCCACGTTTTTTTTTATTAATGAAGTCCTGATTTGATTAGTCCTAAACTGATGAAATTTGTTCCAGTGAGTGTTTCTGTTTCAATGTGATAGATTGAATTTTACCTCTTGAGTTATTTTGTACTCGTTAGCTTAAGGAAATGGTTTTATAATTGAAGCACCATGTTATCCTTCTGCTCTATCCTCAAGTTATCCAAGTCAGAGACTAATAGTGTCAAAAGAGCGAAAATAAATCATCCAAAAAAGGGCAGGAAACCATCTGAATGTCTGGGAATGTTTGCTTTGTGTCACTCACACAGATACAGACTGAGATTAACATCCATTTATTTTATGACTTGTCCTATGTAAATGTATTGCTCTAAAAATCTAATTAAACACTGTTGTGTCACATTATGTTTTCCGTTTCTTAAAATACTTTTAAAGATTGTAGCTAGACTCAGGGTGTAGAATCCCATTTGCTCTGAAATGGTAATATATCTGAACACTATGGAATGAACTTTTTTTGAAATGTAGTCATAAGGAAATCCTCGACTTGCAACAATTCATATTTAATGACCGTTCAAAGTTACAACAGCACTGAAAACAATGGAATGGAATGGAAGGAAAGAGAAGGGAATGGAATGGAATGGAATGGAATAGAATAGAATAGAATAGAATAGAATAGAATAGAATAGAATAGAATAGAATAGAATAGAATAGAATAGAAAAAATGGAATGGAATAGAATAGAATTGAATAGAAAAAATGGAATGGAATGGAATGGAATGGAATGGAATGGAATGGAATAGAATAGAATAGAATAGAATAGAATAGAATAGAATAGAATAGAATAGAGCTGGAAGGGACCTTGGAGGTCTTCTAGTCCAGCCCCCTGCTCAAGCAGGAGAACCTACACCATCTCAGACCAGTGAATGTCTAGTCTCTTCTTAAAAATCTCCAGTGATGGAGCGCTCACGATTTATGGTGGGAAGCTGTTCCACTAGTTGATTGTCCTTACTGTGACTCGTGATCATTTTTCACACTTATGACTGTTGCAGCATCCCTATGGTCATGTGAACAAAATTCAGACATTTGGCAACTGGCTTGTACTTAGGATGGTGGCAGCTTCCTGGTGTCCTGTGATCAGCCTTTGCGACCTTTGGACAAGCAAAGTCAATGGGGAACCCAACTTCATTTTACATCTATGTTACTAGCAACGAAGGTAAGGGGAGGGGCAAAACACATTCTTGCTTAACAACAGAACTTTTGGGTTCAGCTGAGGTCGTAAGTCAAAGGCCTGATCATCATTTAAAGCCCACAGCATCACACGAGTATTTACAGGTCCAAAACGGTTTAGTGCATTAAATGCTAGCAGCTAATTATTTTCAAATAATTAAACACAAAAGAAAGCAATGGTAAGTTTTAGTAATAAGAAAAACTAGGATCCAAAATCTTTATTACACACTATACAAAAATATTGCACTTTTAAACCAGATAATAAATATATACAAAAGTATTTACAGGTTATCTTAACTTAAAGAAGGGGTGTGATCAAAAAGACAAGGATTGCTTTAAAATTTAAGGCCCTGATAACAGCAAAAGTTTAAAGTCCACTGAATTCCATGAGATCAAAGGTTCTGATTCTGCTTTCCATGTTAGCACTAAATGACTCTGGAAAGAAGCACTTGTATTCATGCAAAATCAAATGCTAAAGTTTTTTCCTACTACAATCTTTAATTTTGCAAGTAGGCCTTTATTTCTCAGTAGGTGTTCCTTATCCTAGAATACTGAGAAGTAGGACTCAGCCTGAGTTTGCCCAGACATCATCTTTTTGAGCTTCCGTGGAGTTCTTTCTATCTCCATGGGGAACATTCAAACATGTAATTTCACTTGGCTATGAAAAGAAAAAAAATATTCTTTGATTTTACTGCAATCGGCCCAGTTGCTCGACTTCAGTTTGATCATTTTGGGTCATTCAGCCAAGAATACCGTTCCTTCATTCAACCCCTTTTATACGGTAGCAGTAGTTTAGCTGTTAGTAAGGCTAAACCACGATTTGGTTCTCTTTGGAAATATATTTGGGACAGAAACCCAAAACTCAGGCGTTAACTTTTCTGTCCTTCGTCAGAGGGTTCAGTTCAAGAAAAAGCAACTTTTGAAGTTTATGCAAGAACTCAGGAGTTACAAATGAAAACAAAACAAAAGCAAAAGAGAAGAATGGTATATAGAATATCCTTGACTCAATGGATAAGGCCAAGTTTCAGGTAGTCTTGCATAGTTTTTAAACAGTAGTCAAATAAACTTGGAAAAACTACAAGCAGGGCGTGAAGATAAAGCACACCTGTGATATTGTCTGAAAATGACATTTCCACGCTGCTTTGAGAGCTAGTAGCCATTGATAGACAATGGACTCCAATAATCTTAAGAGCTGTACATGCTTTGTAAGTAGAAGATTCCAGGTTCGACCCCAGCATCTCCAGGTAAAGATAGGAAAACTCCCAGTTTAAAAATCTGAAATGCTGCCACCAATGAGACAGATCAATGACTTGCTAGAAGGCAGATTCCTATCTAATTATGGTTTCATCCATGTTTATATTGCTTTCCAGTCAAGAAGATGGCTTCCCCAGCCATCCGAGGGCTTCTGAGTTAGTCAAGTTAATGTCTTCCACTTTATTTTGAGGCATAACAAGCATGTATAGCATATATTTTGGTCTATGCTAAGCTCTGTGTCAATTAACTTCCCTGGTTTCTCTTATGACAACTGAACATTTGGTTCAATCCACTTGGTTCCATTTTCACCAAGCGCAAATTATGTTATCTTTTCTGTTATTCTAAAGAACTTCAGGAGTCATATATAGGAAACATTTCAAACCATTTCACTTGCTCATTTCTCTAGCTTTTTCAACACCCGGCCAGAATTGTATGGAGCCACATTCATTTATGTTCCTCATAATGTATGTTATCTGACAGTTAAAACTGAGATTTTTATTATTTTTTGCACAAATCTGCATAGGAGCAAAATGTTATTTGAAGTATTTGACTCGCAGGCATATTCCCAAATGCATAATGATCAAAATGGATGAAAATCAGCTGAACTGACCCTGAACATACCTGTGTCTCAAAGTGTAAAAGATCTGGGTTTTTCACCCTCTTTCAAATGTAAAGTGTAAAAATGTAAAATAAACAGAATTTCTTCAGAAGCAGCGTAGATTTTTGGCTGAGGATCTGCTCTGAGTTCTCTTCTGACAAAAACAAAACAAAACAAAACAGTTCTCAAACTTCAAATTCAAATGGAAACATTTAAATTCTGAGCTCCAGTGTCGAAACCTCAAATCCAATTTCATACCAGGCTAATGATGCTCCCTGCCTTGATCAGATTCCAGAGAGATTGAAAGATGTGATCTGTCTTCCTAAAATTACACTGTATTAATCAAAAACAATTCCATGGCAAGTTTGCAAATTGTAACATCATGTAGATCACTTTTTACTGAAAATACTTAAAGGAATGAACTTGTGATTCATCTGAAGCTAAAGAAATGAAGTCTCAGACAATGTGGTTTTGCCCTAAAAATGAAGTAGAAACAATAGTAGGGGAAAAAAAAATAACAGTATTTTTTCTATATTTTCTGAAAATTGTCTTAAAATGGATTAAATCAAGAAGGTGACAAGCAAAGCAGTCCGACTGCTGATTCCAGTATATTTTAAATTCACTAATCTTCAGTTGTATTTGTACTGTCAGTAGCATTAGTTAAATCCAATAAATTCCCATTGTCTCATCGTAGAAGTTGTTCTGTAAGGCTGCAGGCAGCTTTCTTGTTCACGAAGGCTGCAAAGTCAGTGTTGCAATTTCATCACATCTGAAGGACACCAGATTAGGAAAGGTGCTTTCAAGTAGTATACTCAGCGGACCCATAATGATTTCTTTTTTAAAAAGAAAAAAGAAAATAACCTTTAAAGTTATTGTAAAAGGCATAAAAGGGAGCACAGGAGGAATCAGGAAGAGAAAACATTTTGTCCCAATCTATGAATTCATATGGTCAATTCAGCAAGCCCATGTCTTGACTGTTGATAGTCTTCGGTGTCCTACAGAACAAACCAAGCTAAATGAAAACTCTCCCATCGATGATGCACCATTTATCACTTCCCATAAAAGACTAACCTTCTCCACATGTTTGACAGCACCTTTGCTTGTAGAGGTCTACTAAGCATAATTTTAGATGCTTTACAAATGTGCAGTAATGTGTGGTATCCTTACAGTTGCCTTCTGAAAAATATATGGAAATGTGACAAAAAGGAAAAATTATGTCATCACAATAGATGGCTCTTGGATGCTGAAGTCCTGCTATCTCATGTCTGGCGAAAACAGGTGTAAGACCGAAATAAAACGTCAACATCCCCTCTCTCTTTTTGCTTTGCGTGTCTTTTTTCAAAACTACCGTGGATTTACTGTGTAGATTTCCTGGAGGCTCATTCACTCACAAGAACCATTAATATTTATTGATCCAATCCATGGCATAATTTGAAGCTAACTTGGGGGTTCTTTGGCTGTTTTCCTCTTTACTGCTGACTGGGCAAAGTCACTCAGGCACCATTGAGCAGGACATGGATTGATCAAGTTCCTTCTGCAGCTAAAGTTCAGCCACACACCACGTTCTAAACGCCATTTGCCACAAGCAACTGGCAAGGTGAGAAATGGATGTACAGTGTTTTTACATATTGTCACAAGAAGTGACGTTGCAGTGTTTCCAGGTAGTGGGTCTCTTCTTCCATGCACAGAACTGATTGGCCACCAATCTCTTCTTTTTCCTGTGTACACAGCTGACCTGTCGTGACTGGAAGCCACTTCCGCAGTCTACAGGGCACGGATGCCAGGGACCTGTTCGCCAATATACATCACAACTTTCTGAAGAACAGTTTCTTCTCATGGAAGGCCTGCAGAAGGGGAAAAGGAGGGGGGAGTTGGAAGCTGCAGTTTGACTTAATCCAGGAGATGGTATTTCTCCCCCTCCTGATCCTTGTTGCAACATAAGGTTTATCCACTCCCAGTATTACAGTATCAATAAAAAATCCCTGTTGCAACATAAGACTTATCCATTCCCAGTATTGCAGTATCAATCAATGGAGAATCTCCCCTTTTAAGATCTAAATTTAAACCAATCCAAAGCCAGCTTCTTTCATCTCTCCAATTCTCTGCATTTTTCATTCCTGATAATAAGTCTATTTAGTCCCTACTATTCTTCAGCATGTGATAAGCGTTTTTTTTAAAAAAAATCTCCTTTCTATTTTCTACCATACGTTGGTTGAATTCAGATTATGCTAAATCAGTAAACCTCACACTTTAAGCAATCATCTGGGAATCCCAAAGGTGCTTTCCCAAAAGCCAGCTAGAGTTTCTTGTTTTTTTTTCCTTGAAAATATTTTGCTTTTCATCCAAGAAGCTTCTTCAATTCTGAAGAAGACCGAGAAAACCAAAAAAGTCCAAAAAAGCCTTTTGGAAAAGCAACTTTGAACAACCAAGACCTGGATGGTTGTTGAGAATCTCCATAATCGCATTGAGAATCTCCATAATCATCTAGGAAGTTTCTGTAGAGTGCTTTTTCCAATAATCCTCCCTTATCTCCAAACTTTTTTTTTTTTTTTTTTTTTTTTTTTTGCCAAATCTCAAACTGGTGTGGAAATGGGATGCATCCAACTTGTAAAAATGAGAAACCGAGGGAAACGGAGATAAAGGCATTCCTAAAAAGTATCTAGTCATATTTTTTAGATCTAGAATTGCAGCCAAATGCCCAGATGACAAAACACATATTAGAGGTATTCTGACTAAATAGGACAGTTTGTAGGTGTAGTTTGCTGTGTCCCATAGAAACATTTGTAAATTCTTTGTTTTTCCACTGGTAACATTCCTCCACAAAGAAAGAAAGGGAGGTAAGTTCACACTGAAGTTATGAGTTTTATTCCACTGATTTAGGAGCTGGAAAGTGATAAAAGTATAACATTTAGTAGCCTAATGTGACTGCTGAGGAGGAGAAATATGTGGTGTTCGCTGACTCATTTCTTCCCAGTAGGATCTAGTGAAAGAACGTCGTGACATCTGCTAAAACGAAAAAATGTGTTATGTGTCTTGTGCTTGACAGACATACCTTTTCGTACTATCACAGAGTGAATTCAGTACTGCTGATCCATTCTGATGCTGACACTGAATGCGACGGTGTTGTAAGCCCACTCTGAGATTTATGCAACGTCCAGTGCACTGAGGAGATAGATAGCAAACAGCTTTCATTAGAAGATGAAGCTTTGCATTCTCCCATGCAAAATGCAGATTATTTGAACTCCGAGTGATAGCAGGCTTCCTGTCCCTATGAATATAGGCCAAGAAGCCATCATATTAATCTAATTCCTCCTTATGGTTTATTTTTAGATGGTAACCATGGCCCCACCGATTTATACCTCTAGGAGTTTTGACAGTGTAAAGGTTCTCAGCCAGAGAGCTAATAGTCAATAGGGTTTGAATTCAATCCATCTACTTAGGCTGGACCTCTTGAGCAGAAGAAGCAAATAAGAGTGTATTCTTTTCTACTTGATCTTTAGCCTAACATGGACTTTCTGAGCTTTAAGGTATATTTCTCTAAATTAGTCCTGAGACTTGTCCTTGCTTGTTCTTAGAACTTAGAACTAAAGAACTAAAGGCTTATTTTGTGGTCCAGAATATCAGTTTCAGCCTTCATGGAGCAGATGAATGTTGAGCAAGAGTTTGTATTCATGAACTCCATTGAGTTTAAGATACAAAATAAATGAAATGTAATCTCAGATACTTTCACCAGATATATGAACAGCAATTTTAGTTCATGGAATACTGGGAGTGGCTTTAGATACAACTTGTCCAGGTGTCATATGTTATTCCTAAAAACAAATGTACTATAAAAATGATCAAGATGTTCTCCAACCTCTATCGCTTTGTTCTGATGATAACATACAACCCCGCACCTCTCAGTAGAAAAGGTAGAAACTAGAGAAGCGTGCATAGTTATTAGGCAATTTTGATACACCCAACTGGGTCTTGTGCATAGCCAGTGACATAGATTATAGATCCATTAATCACTGAATTAATTACTTGGCCCCAGGGATGAACAATCCATTTGGCACAAAAGTGGCCCACACAAGGTTTCATTTCCAAAGGACGCTCTTGGTCTGCACAAGCGTCCGGAGACAATGTTAGGACACGGAGGCTGGCTTTGACTTGCTTGCAGGCTATTCGCCGGCGGTGAAATCCATGGCCGCAGGAAGCAGAGCATTCAGACCAAGCTGTTGTTGCCCAACTGAAAGGAGAAGATGCAAGAAAAAGAAGAAGAAGAAAAAATTAACCGTAGAAGTAAAGGAAATGCATCGTATCGAGGATACAAATTAGAAATTGTGACTTGGGCTATAGGGATAGTTAAGCTAACGATGGGCACGCTATGGAGAAAAGGCTCCATTTTCCTCCGTTATTAGCTGAGATGGACAAAATCAACAATGGTTTTTAAGGACCAGACTGCACCTCTTTGTCAACTGCTGGGATCCAAGAGCAGAAGGAAAGAGCTATTATATTTTTCTTGTAAATGTATTAATATAAACAGAGCCCCATCAGATCAAGCCAAAAATCTTGATCTACTCTCAGAAAAGTTAACTCACCCACAGGTGTTTCTCAATAGCTGGCCTTTATATATCTTGACAAGGATGGTGATACAGGAGGCCCAGCTACTGTATTTGTCCCCACTTTCCCTCACCTATATTTAGGTGAAATGGGTGGCTATTTGAATTTGATAAATAAATAAATATGGTAGGAATGAATGAGGATTCAATGCATTCTTCCTGTAATGGAAGTATGATTTCAGTGGTAGTGAGTCTTTAGCACCGCCATTGGCCAAAAGGGACAGTGAAATAGACAGAGAGGGATTTAAGAGCATCTTCTGTGTGTCTTCTTTGTTCCCAGGCTCACAAAAGGAACTCTTGTTCTTTGACTCCTCTTTCAATGTTTTGTATCAGACTGCAGTTGGAGGAATTCAGCGCCCTAGTAAAAGTAATCCAGAATCTACCTAGCTTCACTGCAAAACACAGAGATCTAAGCATATATTTTAATTTGAACTAAGTAACAAAACGTTTGTACCTTGCAGGACAATCTTGAATTTTGCAGGAGCGCGGCTTCTTCATGACTGGCTTTTGATGGTCCTTGCATAGTGATGTGTTCACATTTTGATCCCTCGTATTCACGCATACAAATTTTTGAAAGCGACTTCCTGAATTTCCACAAGTTGTTGAGCATGGACTCTGCTCGCTAAGCTTCCATCGATATTCTGTCAAAGAGGATATATCTCAAATATATCTGCCTTAAATTATAACAGCAGGAAGTACCAAACATTTAAATAAAATAAAAAAAAGTAAATTTGAAAATGTTATCAGGATCTTTCAACAAACCTTCCTTCTTGACATTTACCCAGACAGACAATGGCTTGACAAGGGATGAAGCCCAGCACTTGTATTGTCCAGCAAGCTGGTCAGAGGCAACGATGAATTCAAGGATGCGTCCCCCAACCAGGGTCTTGTGCTTGAAGTCTGAAGCCCCTTCTATGGATTGGTTTCTGACAAACCAGCGGATTGTGTTATTTGCGCTAGGATAGATAGGACAACCTAGGAAACCATGTCAAGGTAATTAAAATTTAGTAGCTGACCGACAGAAGTGATATATAGAGAATGAGTCAGCTGAGTATTTGGGGGGTAGTGTCCCTTTAAGAGACTGTTTCTGGAATCTTTAACTCATTTCTATATAACTGACTACCTTGTATTCTGTATACTCCCTGAACGTTGTTGTTTCATATTGTATATTAAACCACAGTTCTTTTAACAAACCACTGTCAGATGTTTATGCTCTTGTGTTATCACAAGAAGAAAATAAGAAAAAGGCTGCGATCATTTATATTTTTGAACAACAAACCAAAGGCACTTTTAGCTTTTTTTTTTCCAGAACATCTAAAACTTGTTTACAGGATAAAGAATTCAGTTATTCTTAGGTGTCCCTGCCCCCCCCCCAAAAGACGATGATGTCTTCAAAGTAGCTACAATATTTCAAGGACAATTTGCCGTGGCCAACTCACCATGGCCAACTCTTGCCATAGTCAACTTGTCACAGCCAACTCGCTGTGGGACAACTGGGCACAGCCGTGTTCCCACAAGACTGCAGGACAAGAGTTACCCTAATATCAAAAAAAGGGTGGAATAGAATCATTAAAGGAAGGATGCAAAAGGAGGATTAAAGCTAAACCAGACTGACATGTGCCTGGCAAAAATTAAAATAATTTTTATTTATTTTAAAATCATTCAACAGAATTGTGAAATTGTCCTGCACAGTGAGCTGTCTCGTGGCAAGTTGGCTGTGGTGAGGTGCCCCATTCCCACATTTCAAGGTTCCCCCCCCCCCCGGGATTCTTTTTTCAGAGCTGGGTATACAAGAAAAATGGAAACCTCCATTGCAGCGTATCCAATCTTGGCAACTTTGAAGACCCGTGGTCTTCAACTCCCAGAATTCTCCAGCCAGCCATGCCACTGCATCATGAACCAGAATTAAGAAGAATTGCCTTTTTTTGTTTCATTGGGCTTTTTATTCTGCCCTACTCTTGTTCCCATTTTCCCCTCTCCTTGCTGTGTAGCTTTTGGGCCATAATTCAGCCTGCTCTTGAGATATTCAATGCTACCTTTCTATGCAGTTGAGTTCCTTGGCTGCCATTTTTGGAACATCCTGTAACCAGAAACACAGACGCTCCCAAATAACTGCAGACATGACATGAATGAAACAAGAATGACCCCCCCCCTCCCTGCCACCCACTGTTTCAGGGCAGGGTTGACATTTGGGACCATACCTATTCGTAATGTATCACCAGCAGCCACTGTAACGTTAGTGCCAATTCCAGATGCCATGAAAACACGTTTTCTTTTACTCTTCGTGGATGATCCGTTATATGGTTTCTGGAATCTTTGCCCTAAAATAACAGAAGAAATTACAGCCCAGGGTTTCCCAGACATAAAACCAAGGAGAGGCTGATCAAGTTTGAAGGACTTCTTCAGTCCTCACTATGTTGGCGAAGCCCATCTGCAGGCAAGATAATGGCCATAGCCCCTTTCCCCTTCCACCCATATATTCACGCTGTTAAAATCTGTTTTCAGCAGATAGATATGTGATACAGAGCTGGTTGGGTCTACTGGTTAGTACATCAGGCTAGAAGCTGGGAGATCATGAGTTTTAATCCTGTCTTACCTATGAAAGCCAGCTAGGTGATCTTGGGCCAATCACCAGGAGAGTGAGTTCTAGTCCCAGCTTAGGCATCAAAGCCAACTGGGTGACCTTGGGTCAATCAACAGGAGACCACCAGTTCTGCTTTAGGCGTGAAGGCCAAGTGGGTGACTTTGGGCTGATCACCAGGAGAGTGAGTTCTAGTCCCACCTTAGCAACAGTGACCCACTGAGGTCAAAGCAGAAATGCTGGTTGAGGGAAGCCAAGAGATCCTCCCCATAGGGTGCCCAATGATGCCACTGACCCAACTTTATACTTGCCAGCCAATTTAAGAACAGTGGCTGCTGTGGCATGACCCACAACACTGGTAGCCACACAAGTGTAAATTCCAGTGTCTTTGCCCGAAACATTGCCCAGGAACAAGAAGGAACTGTTAGCCATTGGGAAAGCAGAACTTCTTGAAGAGCTCTCATTTTTGAACCACAGGACCTCAGGCTGGGGAATACCTGGAAGGCAAAAGCAAACTATATTTAAAGGTCAATGCTTAGACAAGGCATTCCAAACGAACATCTTTCTGATTTGAACATCTTTCTGATTTCTGCTCCCATTTCAACTTCTCATGGGATTTGGGATCCTTCAAGCAGAGATGTTAAGTATCTAAGCCTAAAAAGGACATATACAATGGACAATCAAATAAAATATGAGCAACTATCTATGCATATTAATGCAGTCATCTTCTTTCACCAGTAGATGGTGGACTAGGCATGTTACAACATGGATATTCTATATATGTGTGTGTCTGTGTCTGTGTGTCAACATGGATATTTTATATATGATACATCATGGATATTATACGGGTAGTCCTTGACCTACTACCACAATTTCTGTCGCTAAGTGATACTGTTGTTAAGCGAGTCCCCATTTTACAACCTTTCTAGCCACAGTTGTTAAGTGAATCACTACAGTTATTAAGTTAGTAATACAGTTGTTAAGTGAATCTGGCTTCCTCATTGTCCCAACTCCAGCTGGTCAACCTATGTGAATGAAAACATTGCCCATCTATGTCCTATGCCTCGAAGTAGTTTCTATCCTAAAATGGCCTGCATTCTGGTCCTGACAACCTTTGGAGAGGGTAACTCCCACACTGACACAGCCAAATGTGCTTCTGGGCGCTTCATAAAAATGTATGCACCCTTTCCCAAGACAATGACACTTGTCCTGTATGTGGTTCCTGGAGGTTTTCACATGTATTAGTTTATAGGGCTGTGCACGGCTGTGGATTCAGAAGCCAAAGGCCACTTTGGGATATGTGGGTGTGCAGCCAATTGTGGCGTCTATCTCCAACTCCTTAAACCGAGCACATTTTGAATAGAAGAGGCCTCATAAAAATGCATGTTCTACCATTAATTTCTCTAGACTTCAGCACATTGTTTCATATAAGGTGACCAACTTTTTTACAATGAAAAGGAGGACACAAATAAATTGAAGAAAAAAAAATATCGTAAATAAAAGAAACATTTTATTCATTGCAACAATAATATAGACAACTTGCATGTGCAAAGTTTGCCAGCCGGGTGTTTTGGCGCGCTCAGCAGCAATTCCTCTTGGCTTTCGAAAGCCAGCAGTGGGAGTAGAACAGCTCATGCAAAAGTTGAAAACAAAACCCATCAAAAAAAGGTGCCGGAACGCCGTTCTGAGCGTTCTATGAGGGCAAAAAAAAAAAGCCCTGCAGATTAGTCTTCAAATATCGAAAAGGAGGACATGAAGGAGGACACTTTTTGAGGGAGGACAGAACTTACAAAAGGAGGACTGTCCTCTCTAAAGGAGGATGGTTGGTCACCTTATTTCATAGGCTGCCTAAAAGGTATGATGGATTACTTGTCAACGCTGGCCCGGAATGGGGAAGTGATATGTGGAAAAGGAATAAAGAAGAATAGAATAATAAGGTTGAGAGAAAGACCTTTAGAGGTCTTCTAGTCCAACCTCCTGTTCAAGCAGGAGAACCTATACCAGGGGTAGGCAACTTTGTCTCTTTTATGACTCGTGGATTTCAACTCCCAGAATTCCTGAGCCAGCCATGCTGAGGGGAAGGGAGAGGTTTCCATGCTGAGCCATGCTGACTCAGGAATTCTGGGAGTTGAAGTCCACGAGTCATAAAAGAGCCCAGGTTGCCTATCCGTGACCTATACCACTAGGCAAGTGGCTGTACAGTCTCTTCTTCAAAACCTCCAGTGATAAAGTGCCCACAATTTGTGACAGTTCAGGTATTTTAGCCTTACCTTTGACTGGACATTCCAGCAGAATATTCGCCCCTGTTCTTGCTAGGATTGTGCCTCCAACCGAGGCAGACAGATTCTGAAGCTCAAAACTGGCAATATTTTTCTCAGAAGACAATATAGCAGGAGCTTCTGTGAGGGACAATCAATGGGGAGAGAAATTAGTCCCAGAATTTTGCCTTCTTGTCAGACCCACCGACAGACCTTCAGGATGGAACTACGTGGTCTCAGAGAAAGGAATTCAGCTGGAAAGAGTTGCCCAAAATCTTTTTTTCCCCTTATTTTCATGTTTTCCCTCTCAAATTATGGTAACTACTGAACTTCAGAAAGGAATGTTTACAGATCTTTGGAGGGGAGGGGAATATTGTATGCAAATCCCCTCACACTTCATTTAATGTGAAAATGAGTGTTTAAAAACCTTCCCCAAGAGTTATTTTCCCATGTTCTTTTTACTAATAGTAATAATTTCTCTATAGTTTTGCAGGCTAGTATTTCACAGAAATTTAAAAAAAAAACACCAAACCAATTCATTATCATCAAACAGAGACCAGGAGGGCCTATGTCTTATTGAGAGATGATTGATGGTCTGGAACTAATTTGCAAATTGCAGCACGAAGTATCACCTGCGTAAAACAGCGCCATGTCTTGAAAAAGTTCATTGTCCACTGTGCAGCGATATACCCCCATTTCTTTCTCAGTAGGGTTCACAATCTGGACTTTGCCATTGGCTTCAAAAGTCACCCTGCAGAAGGTTTAAAAGATAAGATTTGATCAACAGAAGTGAACACAGGTGTAATCCTTGACTTAGGAACACAACTGATCCAAAAGTTTCTGTGGTTAAGTGAGACATTTGTTAAGTGAATTGTGCCCCATTTTACGACCTTTCTTATCACTGCAGCTGATAAGTTAGCAACCTATATAATAATAATAATAAAGTTGGAAGGGACCTTGGATGTCATCTAATCCAACCCCCTGCTCAGGCAGGAAACCCTACACCATTTCGGACAAATGGTTATCCAGTCTCTTCTTAAAAACTTCCAGTGTTGGAGCATTCACCGCTTCTGGAGGCAGGTTGTTCCACTGGTTAATTGTTCTCACTGTCAGGAAGTTCCTCCTTAGTTCTAGGTTGCTTCTCTCCTTGATTAGTTTCCATCTGTTGCTTCTTGTCCTGCCTTCAGGTGCCTTGAAAAATAGCTTGACTCCCTCTTCTTTGGGGCAGCCCCTGAGATATTGGAACACTGCTATCATGTCCCCCTTCGTCCTTCTCTTCGTTAAACTAGACATACCCAATAGTTGTGGAGTGAAACTTGGCTTCTCCGTTGTTTATCAGAAGGTCAAAAAAGAAATTATACGACCCTGGGACACAGCAACGGTCATAAATATGAACCAGTTGCCCAGCGTCTGAATTTTGATCACGTGATCATGGGGATGCTGGAAAGGTTGTAGCTGCGAAAAACGAGTCATAAGTCGCTTTTTTCAACCGTTATAACTCTGAACGGTCACTAAACAAACTGCTGTTAAGTCGAGGATTACTTGAACTGTTCTCCACAAAGTGCCCGAACAACCATTAACAAACGGACCGTTCTCTTTCCACATCACTATCGCAGTTGTCCCGGATCATCAGGGGAAAATGTACAAGACCAAACCGGCACTTCATTACGGAGTTTGCTCCTCAATCAAGAGACATACTAAGCGTGTTCATTAAGGAAAAATGTTCCTGAGAATCAGCATGATTCTACATGTCTCCCTTGTGGCTTTGATGTTGTGTGTCCTCTGGCCTTACTGCAAATGTATTTAGTGTTCCACTGGCCAGGCTTTCAGAAAACAGCTCTGCGCCATCTTGCCAAAACTTAGCTTGCCTCAGCTGATTTTTTTTTTTTTTTTTGGCATAGATTGTCTGTCTGCCCTCTTGGTTTTAAATTGGTTAATTCAACCTGTGCACGTAGTCTAACCTGGCAGAAGGATTTCTGCAGACTTTCAGAGTCAATTATTATACTCTTTTGAATTAGGAAGAAAAAGTCAACTTTTCTATGTTCTGTTGTTGTTTTTAGCAAGAATGCTAAAATGGCTTGTCAGTGACTTTTTTTTTGAAAATGTTATTCTGATTTCCCAATCTGTGCTATACCACTGGAATTCCCTAGAGATTTGCTCATCCTAGTACCTTCGACATCATCCAATGTCAGTGTAGAGATTCATATATATATATATATATATATATATATATATATATATATATATATATATATATATACACACACACACACACACACAGGATTTTCAATAGTGAGTGCTAAATAAACAATCTGTCAGATTAATCGATCTAACAATTGTGAGTAAGCTTTACAAGTGGGACACAGAGGTATTTGCTTGTAAGATTGATGTAGCTTATTTGGTATGTTCATCAGTGCTCAAGTGTAAATATAAACCCTTAGTATCTTTATCTTAACTATACCCTCATGCCTTTTAAACCAGCCAGAAAACACTGCATGCCACATTTTTTGCAGGCCAGCAATTACTAGAAACATCTGTGAATGCTACAATAAAGTCAACTTGACCTGTTTAATATTCAGTGTCCAAAATATTTGTCTTTGATTTATAAGTGAGTCATGGGTAGTGTTCAGTTGAAATATGAGTTTTGGGGAGGGCTAAAAGAAAAGCAGAAAGACAAAAGGGAAAGAGTTTTTCACAATAAGAGGAGAAGTAAAGGGGAAATCAATAAGCCAGTAATTAAGCATTCTAAAACATGGAAAAGGGTAGATCCAAGACATAATATGGGTCCTAAAATTGTTTGAAAGACCTTGAAGCTTAAAGGCAAAATGCTAAGCTTACAATTTAAGAAGGATTTTCACAAAGATACTGTTATGTCTACAATATAGTCGCATATTATGTGATAACGACAACTATAATTCAGGTGAGTGCAGAATGGCTGAAATATTTAACATTACTTACTTCTCAGCAGGCTTTAATGGCACTCCATCTTTGGTCCAAGTATATTTTAGGTTGCTAACTCCAGCAATTGCACAGAGCAAATTTATTATGCTGACATTCTTGGTTAACAAAAAGGTGCCCCCAATTTGCAGAGTTACAGTTTCGTTTGAACAAACCTCCTGTGGCTTGACCATAATGGCTCCTTTTGAATTTCTCACTATTGGGGCGCCTACAGTTTTTGTGCTGAGATTATCCGTCACTCTTTGTGATTTGTCAAGTTTCTCATTTGCAGACTCTTCTCCTTTGCCGGGAGCAGACTGCGATGGCTTCACTAACTCAGCAATCAACTGATAGACAAACTGGGAAGCCAAATCATTGCTAATTTCTCCAGCTTCAATGAGATGGCTGAGATTTTTTATCAGCTCATCAAAACGGTCTGTATCCATACTGTAAGCATTAGGCGAAGCCACCGTTTTGAGTTGCTCGGCTGTGAATCCATGAGCGTGGTGTCCTCCTTCTGAATTTCTCCTCTGAGTTTTAAGATGTTCTGAAGCAGGCTGGTCGTTCACTTGTTCATCACGCAGATACCGCTGACTTTTCTGGCTCCACAACTGCCAGATCTGATTTATTTGGTGCCATTTTGCTTCTTTTTGGGTGGTGGCAGATTCCAGTAGTTTGTTGCTTGTGCCAATGAGCTTAAGAACAAAGATCTCCTGGGCAGATCCTGCAATGCACTTATACGCTCCAGTGTCTGAAGCTTCAAGATTATTGATCTTGAGAGATCCTGATTTGGTGACACCAAGATGTTTAGAAATCTGGAGAGGCTGCCCATCTTTCTCCCACCGAATAAGCATCTTCTGGAATCTCCGAACAGGACACCTGACGATGACAGATGTTTTGGGAAGTAAATAAGCTCTGCTCCCCACAGTGAAATTAATGCGTTTCTCTTGTCTTGTCTGAATATAGACTTTATGGATACCCAGTATCTGTGGCTTGTTAAAAAGTCTGGATTTCTTTTCTTCTTTTAGATCTGAAATGGCAAAGGTAACACTGAGAACAGGTATATGTTTTCGTTATTGTTTTGCATTTTCACCGTATCATTTATTCTGCTTTAAACAGTGGTTCTCAACCTTTCTAATGCCGCGACCCCATAATACAGTTCCCCATGTTGTGGTGACCCGCAACCACTTATACATCCCCAGGTGCCAGGGGCGTGGCCAAAGAAAAGGGGGGAAAAATGGCGGACAGCCTTGTTTGGCGACTCCCGTGAAATGGTCGTTCGACCCCAAATGGGGTCCCGACCCACAGGTTGAGAACCACTGGCTTTAAAGGTTGGGAACTCAGTTTACCTAGAAGCGTTTCAGACCAACATTTATCTGGATGGAATATGGAGAGCTGAGGCTTGGGATACTAATATGCTAAATCTCCAATTGTTCTTGGGAAGGTCAATCAGACTTTGAAGCAAGCAAGGCATCAGTGAAGTAGTAATTTAGCAGGTTGGCTAGAAAGAGTCCTAATACAGGAAGTCCTCAGCTTACCACCACAGCTGAGCCCAAAATTTCTGTCGTTAAGCGAGACATTCCCTAAGTGAATTTTGCCCCATGTTATGACCTTTCTTGCCACACTTGTGATGAGAATCACTTCAGTCGATAAGTTAGTAACCCAGTTGTGAAGTGAATCTGGTTTCCACACTGACTTTTGCTTGTCAGAAGATTGCAAAACATGACCTTGGGACATAGACCAAAAATACAAACCAGTTGCCCAGCATCTGACTTTTGATCACATGATCATGGGGATGCCGCAAAGGTGACAACTGTGGAAAACGGTCGTAAGTCACATTTTCAGTGTCATTTAACTTGGAATGGTCACTAAACAAACTGTTGTTAGTTGAGGACTACTTGTACCGTCCACCAACTTCTACAATGAAAGGGAGAAAGAGGGTTGCATGCAGGAACACGACGAAACATACAACCTCTTAATAACTACTTGTCTTTGTGAAAATTAGGAAACCGTGAACAAGTGTTCTAGACCAGCCTTACTATATATGGGTAGAGAATACTCAACAGTGAGCTGCACCCTAAAACTGGAGATTGAACCAGCCAATGATAACTGAAACATGATTCTGCTCATTGTGTATCTTGGCTATAGGCAATGTTTAATATAAACCATCTAAAAACTGATCTTATGTGACAGTTTCTTTAGGCCTCTTTCCCTTTTCAAAACATGTTTCTCAACCATCAGAATAAACATTCTTTTTTGTTGCTTTTTTGGATTATATTCCTTCATGGCATACATTACAGCTACAGCAAAACTTCACAACGTTTCTTTAATATCACTCTCCACCAAACAATCTGCTGATTGGACACGCTGCCATAGAAATATCTATAATTAAATAAATTCATATATATATATGAAGTTCAAAAATATTTCGTGAAATACTCAGCCAAGGACATTCCTTTAAGTCCATAGAGCTTCATTAAAAAAAAAATTTTTTTTTTGAACGTCAGGATCTTGGCATGCTCACCAGGCAATAAAATCTCAAAAAGAAGTTTTGTATTATGAACATATCAATAATTATTTCAACTCTTATTTTGTTGGATGGGTTGTTTTTAATACAATGTTGAAGAATGAAGCTAAGCACCCAGCGATAGTCATTAAAGCCAAATAAATGTTTCCATTAGGACTCTATGTTTGCTGCCAAACTAATATTGCAATATAGTCTTAGTGTCAATGTTCAGATTTTTGAAACAATTGATAGCAAGCAGTCTGAGTTTTGAACCAGATCTTCTGCCTAATAAATAGCTCAGTGAAAATTCTGCTTTACCATTTAAATGCTACAAATTACCATGAAAATAAAAATGTAATCAGCTTCTAGAGGGGTAGAGAAACCTGAAGGTCTGGCTGCGCTCACCTTTTTGCTATGGCTTCAGATAACTCTAATCCTGCTGAAACAATTATCTTTGTACCACTCACCAGCTAAATTCACTGGAGGCTATCCAAGGTCCTGATTGATCCTTACAAGAACCCATAGTGATCACTGTATATTATTATGAGCTGACCTGATCTAACATGATTTAATATCCTTTGATTTCCTTTTAATTGATGCACTAGAGTTACTTTAATGTCAACTTGCCAGCCGCCCATTTTTCGACTGGTTTCAAAGTGGCCATGAGAACACATCCTCTGATTGGCTAAATTAGTTATTATGGGATTTACAACGTGGGTGGCTGTCAAAGACATCTTTGCAGCCTAAACACTGTGACCTCTTGAGTCTGATGGCTTTATTTAATCTAATCTGTTTATTTAGACTTTATTTAATCTAAACTTAGAGCTCTCGTTACCTTCATGGAATCAGAATAAGCGGACCTTTTTTTGATGACAAAGCAATGAGATGAGACGATCACAAATGAGCCCAACATTTTTGTTGCTCAGTGACATGTTTGTTAAGTGAATTTTGCCCCATTTCACAACTTTTCACACAACAGTTTGTTAAGTGAATCACTGCAGTTGTTCAGTTAGTAACATGGCGGTTTAATGAAATTCGCTTCCCCTTTGACTTTGCTTGCCAGAAAATCACAAAAGGGTTCACTTGGCCCTGGGACAATGCAGCCATCATAAATGTGAGTCAGTTGCCAAGTCAGTTGCCAAGCAGTTGCTGCAACCATCATTAAGTGTGAAAAATGGTCCTCGGTCACTTTTTTCAATGCCATTGTAACCTTGAACGGACTGTTGTAAGTCAAGGACTACCTGCTTTAAAGGCCAATCAGAACGGTTAGAGATCTTGGCAAGGCCCATGTAGAGAAGACGATAAGGCAGGGCTGTAGAAGACAGCAGAATGAGCTCAGGGATGCTAACAAGTGTAACAGAAAAAGTGATTCCTAATGATTAAAGTCAAAGGAAGAGCAAAGCAAATAGTAGAAACAATGGTAAGTTTCATGCACACAGGACACTCGGTGTTCAGCAGAGCAGGAGTGAATATTTTATGTAGACATTTGAGTAAATGGTGGATAACTAAAGACACAAAATATTTGAACTAGTTGACCTGTAAGATACTTTAGCTTTTTACAAACAGATATGTTCTGTGTTTTCTCTAAGATAAGCTAGGTAAATTCAATTCTAGATTTTCGGAAAATTTAAGTTATTGATTGAAACGCAGGACAGCCTTGACCAAGCTCCAAATGTTGTGCAAAACTAAAGGGTATCTTATTCTCTAAATCTAGCATCAAAATATTTCCAAATTGGGGTATCTCTCTGTCGTCTCAATCGTGGAATCTTCAAATGTGCCATTTCCCTTAATACAGCTCCAACTGAGAAAGCAAACAAGTTTTTTCATCCAATTTTATTGCGCAAGACAGGGAGGCAACACACCTGCCCCGGAACTATATTTTTTAGAGAAGAGTTGGTCTTGACATAAAAAAAGTCAACGTGGAAAAACCCACAAATCAAGAGGGCCGCCCTCCAAGAATTGCTTTTAAAGAGGGGTAGGGGGAAATCCCAAATGTAAAATTGCTGATTTCTTTATTTTTTTAAATGCAATTTGTCCCTTGAGTTAGCCTTTCCCTGCAGGTAAAAAAAGCACCAGAGTTTAAAGGAAATCTAGAGGGGAATCTGGGCAAATGTGGTGGGGTTAGGTTTTTTTTTATATATATCTTTTGTGTGTTTGGGGCAAAAAGGAAGAGTTTGTTTTGCCGAAAAGCAGTACGAAAGATGAAAAAAAAAAAAAAACTACCAAGCTGCAGAGGAACAATAGTTGCTGTGGAAAAATCAACACCAAGTTCCACAAAGAAAAGCCTCCCAGGGTTTGTAAAAACTGCAGATAGTTGATGGACATCTCAGACTTAGTATTTTATTTTTTTTATTTTTTTAACAAAGCACGGGCACTTTGAAATCATGGGCTAATAGGCTCTGCCATGGATTCTTAAGGGGAAGGTCTGGCACATGGGTTACATCTTGGGGTAAGTGGAATGTTTTTGAAGCTGGGATGCAGGGGGACTTTTCCCCTTCACAAACAGAGCGAAAGAACACCACTTACTTCGGCAGGCATTCCTGTGGCAAGGCTTGACAAGCTGGGATGCTGGAAAGCTGCTACACAGGGATCCATTTAATGCCAGATGTTGGCCTCTGGCCGTGAGCTTTTGGCAGGTGGCTTTCCTTCTTTGTGTGCCAACCCCACAGCTTACAGAGCACTGCAAAAGGAAGGATGTGATCAAAGTGTGCCAACTTGAAATAAAAAATGTGGCAGGGCCCATCTCGCTCTCAAAGGGTTGTGCTTTCATTGGATTGCCTTAGAGCAGCGGCCCCCCAACCTCTTCTATACCCCGCCCCCCCCTAGGACGCTTCTGATATATTCTCGCACCCCTTACAAAAGGAATACCTGGTTATACATATACACTATCATTTTGAAACGTCTAAACCCAGGTTTTTGCATCCCCCGGAATATTGTCTCGCACCCCTCCCCGTTGGGGACCCCTCCCTTAGAGGGCACTTGATCAGGAATAGCGGGAAGGGGGAAAGGGGGATTGGGAAAGGGACAGGAGAAGGAGAAACAGAAGGAGAAGAAAAAGGATGGGAGAGAGAGGAGAAGGAGAAGGATGGGAGGGAGAGGAAGAGGAGAAGGAAAAGGATGGGAGAGAGAAGAAGGAGGAGGAGGAGGAGGATTGGAAGAAGAGGAGAAGAAAAAGGATGGGAGAGAGAGGAGAAGGAGAAGGAAAAGGATGGGAGGGAGAGGAGAAGGAGAAGGAAAAGGATGGGAGGGAGAGGAAGAGGAGAAGGAAAAGGATGGGAGAGAGAAGAAGGAGGAGGAGGAGGAGGATTGGAAGAAGAGGAGAAGAAAAAGGATGGGAGAGAGAGGAGAAGGAGAAGGAAAAGGATGGGAGGGAGAGGAAGAGGAGAAGGAAAAGGATGGGAGAGAGAAGAAGGAGGAGGAGGAGGAGGATTGGAAGAAGAGGAGGAGGAGGAGAAGGAAAAGGAGGAGGAGAAGGGGAGGGGGAGGGGAGGGAGGGAGGGAAGGAAGGAGAGGAGGGGAAAGAAAAGGAGGAAAGGGGAGGGCAAATGGACAGAGGGGGGAGGAAGATGGGAGAAAAGGCATAAATAAATTCTTTAAAAGCATTCTTATTTTAAGCTACGCACCCTAGACCACGGTCCCACCACCAACTGAGGAGGGCAGTCTATTTTTGCACAGGCTCTGGAACTGGCCAGTCTAGGTTGAGGGCACTTCTCATGACCAAGTTTCAGAAAGCTTCCATCCATCAACAGCTGCTGGCAGGTCACCTTGCGATTCTGGGTGCCACCACCACAAGTCTGGGAGCACTAAGGAGAAGAAACCAAGATGGTCAAAGGCCTGGAGACTAAAACATACAAAGAACGGCTACGGGACTTGGGTTTGGCTAGTCTAAAGAAAAGAAGAAATAGGGGAGACATGATAGTAATGTTCCAGTACTTGAGGGACTGCCACAAGGAGGAGGGGGTCACGTTATTCACCAAAGCACCAGAGAGAAGGACAAGAAACAATGGTTGGAAACTGGTCAAGGAGAGAAGCAACCTGGAAAGTTCCTGACAGTGAGGACAATCAACCAGTGGAACAGCTTACCCCCAGAAATCGCAGGCACTCCATCACTGGAGATTTTTAAGAAGAGACTAGACAGTTACTTGTCTGAGATGGTAGAAGACCTCCAAGGTCCCTTCCAGCTCTATTCTGTTCTGTTCTGTTCTACTTTACTCTACTCTACTCTACTCTAAATTCAGAACACTGCACTATCAATGGCTTCTCATTAATCTCACTCAGCTAGAGTGTCGTTCTCCTTGGAGGTGGTTTCCAGTCCTCGTAGTCGGCAGACCATCTTACCTCTTGCCATTCTTCAACATGCCAAAGTGGGGGACAGTCAAGCTGGTTGCATGCTTGTAAGGAATGAGGCTTCAGGTCTTTGCAGCTTTCAGATCCAACCACAGACCCTCCAGGTTGCTGGCAATGCACCTGTCTGGTCTGGATTCCAACGCCACAGGTGGCAGTACATTGTGTCCAAGGTCCTACTTGCCATCTGTTCCAAAATATGATGACATCAGAGCCCTAAGCAAGCCACACCATAAAGTACAAGAGGAATGCTTTGTGAAATCACACACACCCACACAGACACACACACACACACACACACACACACACAGAGCAAAACAGAGGAATGAAAACAATTGAGAACTCTTATTTTAGCCCAGCACTGTGCACCATCACAGGATATCTTCCACCAATAAACTTTCATCATTCATCCCAAAGGCATTACCTACGTCCTACCTTGGGGGGCAAAGCCTTGCATTGCACGCAAGGCTCATTGGTGGAGGTCTCTTTGAACTGTCACACAGGCTATCATTGACAGCTTGTTTTGTCTCTTCGTGTAAGCAGACAGCAATGGCGTCTTGAGTCCCTGGGTGGAAAAACAAACCAACGAGCAGTCACTGACCTCAAATCTTTTGCAACAGAGTAGTGTTGAAAAATATTTCTACATATACATTCTTCCGCCGTAATTTATGTGAAGACAATGCTGCCATGAAACCTGCTCCGATTCCTTATTGGTTCTTTGGTGCACAATTCTACTAGTTTACCAAGTAACAGAGCTGGAAGGGACCTTGTAGGTCATCTAGTCCAACCCCCCCTGCTCAAGCAGGAGATGCTATACCATTTCTGACAAGCACCTGTCCAGTCAACAGCAAACTATGGGAGGGTGGCTGGTCAGAATCCTTATGAAACTGCCACACAACAGTTTTAAATGAATGGATCACTTGGCCCTTTCTCTGCCCAGGACTGTATTTATTTATTTTATTTATTTATAAGACTTATATACCGCTTATGTACCACATCCCTCTTCCCTTGCCAGCCATATACTGTTCCCCTATTCTTAATTTAAACCCTATAAACATTCAGCTAGATTTTGCCTGCTGCAATTTAAGATCGTTATTCCAAGGACTAAAATCTGGAGCAATGAAGAACAGGCCTTGGTTGTGTTCTGCACAACACCTTCCTAGCCCTTTGAAGAGTTCCATCATTTCCCCAAGCCCACTCCCACGGTCTTTGGTCAAGGTTTAATGCACTCAATTCCTTCAGTCTATCTTTATAGGACCTGGTTGCCAATCCTTGTTCATTCTTTTCACCCTTCTCTCAACCCATTCCAATTTTTCCGAATCTTCTTAAATTTTAACAGGTAGATTTTTTTTTTAAGAAAAAAGAAAAGAAAAGCAGAGTCTGGCCAGAGGACATCAGAATTCTTCCCTCCTATGATTTTGAAAACTATACCATTAATCCAGTTTAAAACTTCAGTAATGCATAGCCCGTTTGACTGCATCCAGTTTTGGTCACCGCATTACAAAAAAGATGTTGAGACTTTGGGAAAAGTGCAAAGAGCAATTAAGATGATTAAAGGCCTGGAGACTAAAACATATGGAAAATGGTTGCAGGATTTGAGTTTGGCTAGTCTAGAGAAAAGAAGGACTAGGGGGGACATGATAGCAGTATTCCAGTATTTGAGAGGCTGCCACAAAAAAGAAAGGATCAACTTATTTTCCAAAGCACCAGAAGGCAAGACAAGAAACAATGGATGGGAACTAATCAAGGAGAGAAGCAAGTTGGAATTATGGAGAAACTTCCTAACATTGAGAACAATTAACCCGTGGAATGGCTTGCCATCAGAAGTTGTGGGTGTTTCATCATTGGAGGCTTTTGAGAAGAGACTGGACAGCCATTTGTCTGAAATTGCATAGGGTATCCTGCTTGAGCATGGGATTGGACTAGAAGACCTCCAAGATCTTTTCCAGCTCTATTCTGATTGGATACAATTGACTTCTAATAAAACTATACCTTTCTCAACAAATGGAGCCAAGGATTGCTTCTATTTAGAGGTTTAAGAGGGTGCAGACCTGACAGACAGCTCTTAAGGCCTTACTATTGAGCACTCTCATTTTCTGCTTTACTTGTCACTGGAGGAAAATGGTGTTTTAAGTGATGGATCAGCTGCTGAAAACAGGGGCACCACCCTAAACTCCAACGCTCAAATCCCAAAATGCAGAACACTGTCACACTTCATCTCCTTGTATTGCAAATCTTTCTAGCAAATGTTGGGCAGAGTCCCTTTTATGGGGTGCAAAGATGCCTCGGAAGACTCATGCATATTTGAGACGGTAAAACAAAGAAGTAATTCCCACCATCCAACTAAATGAAATAGAACCAAAGTCACTCACTGAATGAGCTTTCATTGGTATTAGATGGTGCTGGAGAAACATACATAATGCGATACGCAAGATTGAAAACGGTCACAGTTCAAGGAATCTGTTTCCTTCCTTTCAGATGCATTTCCCCCTCATGATTTTACCCAGGGCTACAAATCTGATCTCAAGACAGCTTAATCTTTCTCTTTCGTTAAAAAGATTTGCAGGATTTCAAGCACCTTTTGTCCTTTCGCTGCACTGCCTAATAAAAACGAAGAGCCTCGTTATTCGGGGAAACTACAGTTTCACGGAAAACTTCACATTTCATTCGATGCTGTTTGTTTTCACCTGCAGGACGGACGGCTAGACAATTATTGCCATAAATATCTCTTCTCCTAATTCATCAGGAATGGCTTTCTCAAACGCTCCGTGGTTACCAAAGAGGCCCGTTTTTTATTTTTAGCTGACTCTGTGGAAATTGCAAGACTGGGAGACGTCTCCTCGAGAAGGTACGAGTGTAAAATTGATGACTTCCACTAATTAGTTATAAACCGGGTACGGATTTTTATCCCTGGATAGGAGTGATAAGTGACTTTTATAAGACCATCTCAAGCAGTTACATCTGTCTCCAATCATTCAAAATTACATTACCTCATAACTGGATATTATCCATGGCACATAAAGGGAGGGGAAAAAAAACCAAGGTGTGACCTGGGGGAAAATCATTTGGCAGACACACCTTGCTCTTCATTAAACCACCAGTTAAGAGTGATCAACGATAGACAGCCCTCGACTTACGATTCATTTAGTGACCGTTCAAAATTGCAACTGAAAAAAAAAAGCGAATTATGGCCATTTTTCATACTTAGGACTATTTCAGCATCCCCAGGGTCACGTGATCAAAATTCGAATATTTGGCAACTGACTCATATTTATGACGGTCGCAGGGTCTCGGGGTCGCAGGATCCCCTTTTGCGACCTTGAGTCAATGGGGAAGGCAGATTCCCTTCACAACCCCTTGACTCGTTTAACAGCTGCAAGGATTCACTTAACCACCGTGCCGTGAAAGGTCGTAAAATGGGGCAAACTCCCTTAACTGATGTCTCGCTTCGCAATGGAAATTTTGGGCTCAGCTGTGGCCCTTAGCCGAGGACAACCTGCACACTCACATTTCAGCACTCAAACCGCGATATAAAAAAGATGCTGAGACTCTGGAAAGAGAACAGAGAAGAGCAACAAAGATGATCAGGGGACTGGAGGCTAAAACATATAAGGAAAGGCTGCTGGAATTGGGTATGTCTAGTTTAACGAAGATAAGGACAAGGGGGGACAGGATAGCAGTGTTCCAATATCTCAGGGGCTACCCCAAAGAAGAGGGAGTCAAGCTATTCTCTAAAGCCCCTGGAAGGCAGGACGAGAAGCAATGGATGGAAACTAAGCAGGAGAGAAGCAACCTAGAACTAAGGAGAAATTTCCTGACAGTTAGAACAATTAACCAGTGGAACAACTTGCCTCCAGAAGCGGTGAATGCTCCAACACTGGAAGTTTTTAAGAAGAGACTGGACAGCCATTTGTCTGAAATGGTATAGGGTTTCCTGCCTGAGCAGGGAGTTGGATTAGATGACCTCCAAGGTGCCTTCCAACTTTACTACTACTACTACTACTACTACTACTACTACTACTACTACTACTATTATCATCATCATCATCATCATCATTATTATTATTATTATCATCTCTAGCAGCCACCCTTGAGACTGGCGTGAATTACTATTAAGATGGTCGCCATGAGCGCAAAGCACACACAGTGTAAAAGCGTAATACCTCCGTTGCATGTTGCTGAGCAGGGAGTAAAGCCGATGTATTCCCAGTCATAAAAAACTTTACCAGCCTCTTCGGAGGGTAGGAAAGGCAGGGTGTATAGGACAGGATCCGCATCACACGGTTCCAGCCGGCAACTCCGCTCGGTCAGTGGTTTGGGTCCTTCACATTCCTCGTCAGGCAGCTCCACCTCAGCCTGAGTAAACGCAAGATAAATGTGGCACTTGACATCACGCCTCTGAGTACCATGGCCGCAAGAGGCACTGCAAGGGGACCAAGGCTCGGGGACAAACCTGCAACAAAACCACATCATAACAACCTTTGGTGTCTACGTGTAGGATGAGATCGAGTCAACCAAACACCATCCAACATGCTGTCCCTTCCTTTAATTTAGCCTCTCTAGTCCTGATCATTCTCCCAAAGGTGCTTTTTTTTCCACAAGGCAACTGAACTTTCTTGGGTTTTGTTTTTTTTTGTCCCTTTGAAAATGTTTTGCTTCTTCAGTTCTGCTTCTTGGATGAGAAGCGAAACCTTTTTGAAGGAAGGAAGGAAGGAAGGAAGGAAGGAAGGAAGGAAGGAAGGAAGGAGAGAGAGAGAGAAAGAAGAAAGAAAGAAAGAAAGAAAGAGAAAGAAGAAAGAAGAAAGAGAGAAAGAAGAGAAAAAAGAAAGAAAGAAAGAAAGAGAGAAAGAAAGAAGAGACAGAAAGAAGAGAAGAAAAAGAAAGAGAGAAAAAGAAAGAAGAAAGAGAGAAAGAGAGAAAGAAGAAAGAGAGGGAGACAGAAAGAAGAAAAGGAAAAAGAGAGAAAGAAAGAAAGAAAGAAAGAAAGAAAGAAAGAAAGAAAGAAAGAAAGAAAGAAAGAAAGAAAGAAAGAAAGAAAGAAAGTAAGTAAGTAAGTTGTTTTTTTGGAAAAAGCAGCATGAAGTCTAGGACTTCAGCTCCATTCTCTTCATGCAGCATGAAGAGACATTTCACCTTCTGTTACCATCTCATTCCTGTTCACCCTTCCTGGCTAACCTAGAGAGGGTAGTTTAGCCCTAACAAACCCAGGGCTGTTTGGAGTTAAAACTAACCCTGCACCTACATTGTTGAAACTTAAAAAGGTTGTCGCCTCACTCTTTTTCCATCTCTGAGAAGGCTTTGACAAAATTCTGATTATATTTCAATAGAGTTGGACGTTATCGCTAAACTCAATTAACCCATTCATATATATATAGAGAGAGGGCTGTTATCTCACAATGGCCGGGAAGACATCCAAAATATGCAGATAATTGTTAAGTTCAGATAGATGGAAAAGCTATTTTCAAGAGGGTTCCATCCATCATTCCCTTTCAGTGGCATTTTCATAAGAGGTCCTTCAAATAAATGGATGTCACATGGCAATAACCGCTTGGCCATTTCTGCACCTAGGCAGAGAAGAATGTTCACAGAGGAGAGGGAAAGAACCTACTGTTGCCCTAATGGTCCACGCAGTCACTTCTGACAAGATCTAAAAGCCAAATCATGGTCTGAAGGCATCTGACGCAGCAGCCTTGCCAAAGTTAAAAAGCATCATTCAAGAGAATACTTGAAAGAAAAACGCCCTAGGAATCTTAAGTGTTTTAAGTATCATGGAAGAAGAGGAAGATATAAATGCAACAAATAAAGAACCAGTTTTGGGGGGTAGCAACGGAAGACAATCTTTAATACTATCTATCTACTATCTACTATCTACCATCTACTATCTACTACTATCTACTACTATCTCTAATACTATCTACCATCTCTTGGGAACTTCTGGCGCATGATCGACCGACATGGCGCACCTTGGTTTACCAGGGTTGCCAGACATATGAACACAGAAGGACAATCTTGGCACAAGAAAAGCGAGCACTCCGCAAAGCCAGAGCTGCAAATGCTGAAGTAACAGTGTCTACATTTCTTTGTTCAGTATGTGGCAGAATATTCCGTGCTAACATCGGTCTTATTAGCCACCTACGGACACATCGTTGATGGCCCATAACCCACAAGATGTCAAGGTCTTCATCGAAATCGATGGATGAACAACACTATCTACCCATGTAGCACATCTCTCTACCTGCAAAGTGTGAACGCTTATCGTTCTTCAGATAGTCAATGGCAAGGCTTTCCATCAGGCTGCATGCTATTTTGAAGACTATACGTATTTCTGTACCCAACCATCCTATGGGCTAAAGCTCTTTACACTTTCTTAGCTACAAGACATTTAAACTAAGTCTCTGGTCAATGGATGCTTGAGGTATTGCTGCAAAACAGCTGCATGAAGAGCAGCACTTGCTATTAACAAGCTGAGACAAATAATGTTCCATCAGCCGTGCTGCAATGGGCAACATAAAAGAAGCTGTGCTAACACATGACACTGTACAGCAGGGGTGTCAAACTCAATTTCATTGAGGGCCACATCAGCATTGTGGTTGCCCTTGGGGGGCCAGGTGGGTGTGGCCAACTGGGTGGGCGTGGCCAGTTCTACATTGTTCGCGTCAAGGGTACCTGTGGGGGCCTGGGCAGGAGTAGGACAGTTCTGAGGGTCTCTGGCAGAAGGGGGTGGGACCAGGGCAAGCGCCAAGGCATGGTCCATTTCTTCATTCCTCACAAAGGGTGACACCTCCCCAGCATGCACCCAGGGGGTGGGGCCGACGCAGCAGGGGCTGGTTCCTCGCTGTTTCTGGACAGCCTTGTGGAGCTAAGACTGAATGCGTTTCAGCATAGATGGCCACCATAAAATTGTACATTGGCTCTCGGCCGGCCTGGGCCAGGGCCAAGGCAACGGGGGCCGTTCCCTCACTGTTTCCAGGATGGCTTCGCGGGCCACATGAAACCACTTCGTGGGCTGCATCTGGCCTCCGGGCCTTGTGTTTGACATGTCTGCTGTACAGCAATAGCAAAATGAACTGAAGTCAATTTTGCCCACTGCATAGCTCAGACAGAGTCGCACCCGAAAACTTTTCTTGGGAAGTCACAGAGATAATAGCAATAGCAATCTATTCTGTTATTCTGTAAAGCGTCTCTCCAATGGCCATCCACTGTCTTGGCTTCCCATACTTTCATTAAAACCCACGAGAAGATATAACGAAGGAATTCCTAACAGGCCTATTTAGACTGGGGGTATATGACATCTGAAGAGGCTTCCAAGAAATGAAAAGGGGAAAAAGAAGTGTAACAGATTTGCAACTTCCATCAATTCCAAGAAGTTAGCTAGCTCATGAACACCACGAAGAGAATAGAAAACCAGATCTATTTCACATTATATATCAGGATATACCATAGCATTAATTTAATGTTAATTGAAACTCAGGACTTGCTTCTAGTCATGGATAAGGGGAACAGGAGATGGATCCCGAGGACTTTTTCTAGTTCCCCTCAATGAATCTTCATTACCTTGTGTAGGCATTAGGTGACCATTCTAATGTACAAATTATCACTCATTGGTAGCTAACATCTGGTGAAAATCTTCAGATAGGAATCTACAGATGTGAATCTATGAATGAAAACATTTGAACTGACTAAATGAAATCTGGAAACCCTATCACTTCCTCTTCCTTCTCCTCATCACACGTCCACCAGTTTCGGCACTTGGCCTCTTTTAAGATGCAGCCAAGACCTCTATTTATTTAAGCTTATTTTTTTTAAGGATGTATGGAATCCTTTTATAAAGGATTATTGAAAAGCCTGCTGTAAATAATGAAGGCTCACGAGAGAAAAGTTTACGATAATGATGGGTTTCAACTATCATCACATTCTACCAGTAAAAACCAGAAAAGCTAAACCTCCATTTTCCTTGGCTTAGCTTTACAAACAGTCTTCAAAATGAGAAGAAAAAAACCCTCACTATTTTTCTAATTTAAATCATTTTTAAAAGACTTTACAAACGCACATTATATGAAATTTGGGACACGTGCGAGGGGGCAGAAGAATTTAATTTTAATATTTTATTTTGGCATATTTTGGAGAGTCTCTCAGTACTGCTGCCTTTTATAAAGCTAAAGCTAAGGCTGATAGCACCACAGACAATTCGGATAAAAAGTTATGAAGTAGAAACTAGCTTTGATGCACTGGAAACTGAACAAATTCCTATATTTTCATCATTAAATCGCTTATCTTTTCCAGAAGGATGCATTACTCAATCCAAACCCAGAAAAGGATTCGTGTGGATCTTGAGATATTGTCAATTAACTGCAAAACTAGGAAAATTAAATATAGAGAAGTGCAGAAGGAAAGCTCAGCCTGACTTAGGGCATTATCTACCTCAATTCTGTGAAGGATCTAAATGAGAGAATGCTTAAATATCTCCAAGTCAAAGAGGGCTAAAAAAGAAAAAAACATTTTTTATTTTTACTTTTAGGAAGCTTGTCTTAATATTTAAACAAAGACAGCTTTCTGGCAATTCCCATACATGGGTTTGAATCTTGCCTTCAAATCTATTGCCTACAATCCCTAGATATGTAGTTCCTGTATCGGTTGACTTAAGCCATGGATACAGAACTATGGTTTTTTTATGGCTTGTGGACTTCAACTCCCAGAATTCCCGAGCCAGCCAGGAATTGCTGGCTCGGGAATTCTGGGAGTTGAATCCACAAGTCATAAAGGGGCCATAGTTCCCCACCTCTGACTTAAGCAAAATGTCTAGCAATACATTTATCAAAGGATGTCAGACCTAAACAGAGTTAGTATAGTCTTCAATCAATTCTTTCGAGAGGAGGCAGAGAGGAAGAAAATGAATGAATGAATGAATGAATGAATGAACGAATGAATGAATGAACGAACGAACGAATGTTTGGATCACCAGAGATTTCCATATAGGCATCACTAACATTCTTCTCTGCTCTTCCCTCTTCATGGAAAGTTCACCACTCAATCTTTCTAGAGCTATTCTGGAACAAAAGTCACCCATGCAAAATATTTTCTGGCAGGTCGATTCTTCGAATAGCCAGAAAACCACTGTGACACTTTTGAAGCTAAAACTTCAAACATGTTTTGGCTGCCATGTTTCCCTCCCCTCCCCCCAATAATTGACGAATTCTGCTGGGAAGAATCTGAGGTTTGAGCTGCAACACCAGACCCAGCCCAAGAAAATTCAAACGCCAGATGAATTGGCAGGAAATAGCAAACTTTACCAACAGTCAGGAAAATGCATCAGGCATTTAGTTTCCATATCAGAAAAAAAAGAAAAGAAAAATAAAGCAAACTCACATGGGTTCTTCAGACACAATCCTAGTCTCTTCCATTTCATGGGCTTGCTTGAACCAAGGCAATCTGGCTTCAATGGGGCTTTTCTCTGGAACAGGAAATACATGCATGTTAGTATGGAGAGAATGCAGTACAATAAGGGTCTTCAAACTTGGCCCTTTTATGACTTGTGGACTTCAACTCCCAGAATTCCTCAGCCAGGCAGGCTGGCTGAAGAATTCTGGGAGTTAAAGTCCACAAGTCATAAAAGGGCCAGGTTTGAAGACCTCTGCAGTACAAAGATGATGCCAGAGACATGAGGCTAGTATGAAAGAAAGACGAGGGGTGACATGATAGCAGTGTTCCAGTATCTCAGGGGCTGCCACAAAGAAGAGGGAGTCAAGCTATTCTCCAAAGCGCCTGAAGGCAGGACAAGAAGCAAAGGATGGAAACTAATCAAGGAGAGAAGCAACCTAGAACTAAGGAGAAATTCCCTTATAGTTAGAACAATTAATCAGTGAAACAACTTGCCTCCAGAAGTTGTGAATGCTCCAACACTGGAGGCTTCAAGAAGAGATTGGACAACCATTGTCTGAAATGGTATAAGGTTTCTTGCCTGAGCAGGGGGTTGGACTAGAAGACCTCCAAGGTCCCTTCCAACTCTGTTTATTCTATTTCTATTTCTATTGTTAGGCAGCCATGTAAATTTTCTAAGGAAATAAAGAGAATATTACAGTTACCTTTGGGTTTATGACAAGGGACTGGCACTAGACACTCTTCTTTTATGTGGAGTTTTAACTGAGGATTACAACCACCAGTATGCTGTCCACGGTGATCAATACACAGAACCACTCGGTAGCGTAACCCTTGGCCACAGGTCACGGTGCACTGTAGAAAGATATATATCAGTCAAAAACTAAGATGGCTAACAAATGTCACAGTATTGCTATGCTGCCCTTTGCACCATCCATGATGTCTGGCACTCATAAACCTGGTTATCAGAATGTTTTGTCATTTTTCTGATCAAGAAATTAGAATCTTCCTTCTGCAAGACCTAACTTGGGTCAACCACTATCAAGATTGCCAGCTGTTAGGAGCAAAGGGTCAGGGCCATACGTTAAGTTGCAGTTCAGAAAGGTGTTGTTGTTGTTTTTTGCTCAAGCCTATACTCAGGAATCTAGTCAACTAAAGTTCAGTACAAAATTGATGCCAGATAAGGATCAATGGAGTTCAAGGGGAAGTGGACTTGGAGCATTTGTGGCAATGAAACAATTCTAGGCTGATGATGCACTTAACTCCTCCACCACTACCACCCAGGTGTGCCTGCTCTTCTCCTACAACAGCTGGGTTTTCCCCCCAAAGGTTTTGGTTCTAAGATCACAGGGATGAAGAAGGCATAACTGCAGGATGTAGGAAGTTCTAAGCAAGACCATGTTTTTGTTTACAAAGTCAGTAGTATCAAGCTCAGTAAATTGTGTACTTCCAAATTTGGTGGCTGCTTTTTGACCTCCGATTATTATAGTTATTATTTATTGCTTTGCATTTTTCATTTAGAATGGACTTGAGCACTATAATAAAGTAGAATTCTAAGACAAACACATATATTATTTGCTATTTTCTCCTCCGAAACACTCACGGGGAGGTTTCTGATTGTTGTGTAGTACATTTGGTGTGCATGTAGGGGGAGGGGAAGAGATTACCAGAACACACATACTCCTTTCACATTTGTTGAAACTGTGATATGGACAAATTGGAAGACCGTTCATCTAAGAAGCCTTTTTTTTATATATATATGGAGGTATAGCATTGCAACCCTGAATCCCAATAACATGGAAAAATATTCTGGAGGTTACATTTATCTGTATGCAAGTATTAATGTTATCAGTATTGGTAGTCCTTGACTTACAACAGCTCATTTAGTGAGCGTTCAAAGTTACGACACTGAAAAAAAAGTGACTTATGACCACTTTTCACACTTAACGACTGTTGCAGCATCACCCACGGTCATGTGCTCATAATTCAGATGCTTGGCAACTGACTCACATTTATGATGGTTGCAGTGTCCCGGGATCATGGGATCAACGTTTGTGACATTCTGACTAGCAAAGTCAGTGGGCAAATCCGATTCACTTAACAACCGTGTTACTAATTTAACAACTGTAGTGATTCACTGAACAGCCAGGACAAAAAAAGGTCACAAAATGGAGCAAGACTCACTTAGCTAATGTCTTGCTTAGCAATAGAAAATTTGGGCTCAATTGTGGTCGTGGACTACCTGGGTGATGTACACCCAAATATGCAAGGAAGTTTCCATCAAATTCCTGGGTGTGCAACTAATGAGTAGGCTGGCTTGGTCACTCAACAGTGAGAAACTGGTAAAGTGGGCACAGCAGCTCCTGCATTTTCTGCATTGCATGAGAAAAGCACATCTTCCTTCCCCTGTCCTGACCACTTTCTACAGGGGGACGATCGAGAGCATCCTGTCATACAGCATCACGGTCTGGTTTGGAGGCATCACTGCTTCAGACAGGAAGGCGGTGCAGAGAGTGGTGAGAATGGCCGAAAAGATCATTGGCAGTTCCCTCCCTCCCATCCAGGACATAGCACAGAAGCGTTGTTTGTGCAGGGTCTGTAAGATTATCTGGGACACTACACATCCTGTTCACAACCTGTTTTCCTTGTTCCCTTCTGGGAGGAGGGGTTTCGTGGTATTCGAAGCAGAACATTCAGATTCAGCCATAGTTTCATCCCATACAGCATTAACCTTGTGAACTCTCAAGCTTCCTCCTTCCGTTATATATTCAAGATGGACAGTATTTAATATTTATTTGCTACGTATATGTAGGGGTGTCGGTCTATACATATGTTGTACATAGTATGTTTTAGGTGTGTGTCGTGTATGTGTTTCACTTTGAAAGCGGGCAACTAAATTTCATTTTTGATGTGTGTCGTTGTGCCAACAGTAAAAAAAATGACAATAAAGCTTATCTTATCTATATAATGTGTCATCAATCATCCCAAACACTGACTACATGTGAAAGCTTCCCCCCCCGAAAGAAGTTTAAATATTCTGCTTCCTTACCTGTGACCACTCCAGAGCTATCCACTTAGGGCAATCGTATAGGTTGCAAGCTTGCATGACCCTGGGTTTAGGAGCATACATACATTTCCATTCGTCTACTTGCAATATCTCCCCATGCATGGTCTCTTCCACACAGACAAAGCTTCTCCTCTGAATTCCTCCTCCACATGAAACCGAGCAAGTGGTCCAAGGATTGTGCTCCCAGCTGTTTGAATGAAATAACAGCATCCCAAGAAAAGTAAATTGAATTTCTATCTGGTTTTCAGATGCAAGTGATAATGAAAATAGTAGACTGCTTTTTCCCTTGGCCATTGAGACTTAACCACGTGCAAAATATTTCTGTTTCAACCAGATGCAAATCTAAAACGATGATTCTGGACACGGAGCTTGAAAAAAAAAACTTGTTTTTAAGTTTGAGGCATTTCCCTGATAGTCCAGACAGCCTATTCTGGACACAAAACCCTCCATTTTCAATTCAGATTTGAGCATTCTGAACACACAATGGTTATGTTCAAAAAATGTACACCCTTAAGATGTAAAACCTCTGGTAGTAAGATTTGTGACTGAATCTCAACAGCATAATTCAATTTTATGTGAAAATTTTATACAGGTAGTAATCAACTTAGGACCATAATGGGATCTCAGATTTCTATCATAAGTCATGACAGTCAATTTTGCCGACTGCATAACTCAGGCAGAGTTCCACCCGAAAACTTTTCTTGGGAAATCATAGAGATAATAGCAATAGCGCTTAGACTTATATACTGCTTCATAGTGCTTTTCGGTCCTCTCTAAGCAGTTCACAGAGTCAACATCTTGCCCCCAACAGTCTGGCTCCTCATTTTATTGATCTCAGAAAGATGGAAGACTGAGTCAACCTTGAACTGGTCAGGATCGAACTCCCGGCAGTGGGCAGAGTCAGCCTACAATACTGAATTCTAATCTCTGCGCCACTATGGCTCAGTATGATAAGAAGTCCAATCCCGGAGAAATGGAGCATAAATCCATAAGGTACTTTCAAATAACAGCTCCCAAAAATGCCAAAAGGCAGAGCAAGAATGTTCCTTGTCTGAAATGATTCATAAAACGCTCCCCTTGGAATAAATTAATCACATCATTCACAAACCGAACACAAAACTTGCTGCATGTTGAGTGTTGACATTTCAACCGAGTTTCCATGATCAAAACCAGACAACGCGTGAGAGCTTAGAGCTAATGGTTTCACCATCACTCCGATAAATACGCTCATCTGCTCTTATCGTTTTGTTAGCTTAACTGTGCGAATGATTGATGAGATATAAAACAACCGAAAGACTAGTTTTTAAAGTGTTCCACTACTAGTGGCACATTGCATTTAAAGTAGAACCTTCCAAATTAAGTCAGCAGAAACCCTGGGGCAGAGATGCAGGCTGCAAGAACCCATAAGGGACCACTAAAAAAAATGACAACTCCCTCTGAACAAGCTCTCCTATTTTAACAGGTATGAAAAATTAACCTGTGTTTGGTTGTGCATTACCCAATAACCTTGGTCCAAATGTCCTTTCTTGGAAAACATAAATGGTTTTGTGGTTTGGAGAATGTTTAATGATGTATCCTCTGGGTATAATTTCCATCAAAAACTTATCTCCCCCTCAAATGAAAGCAAATGAAAGAACAATTAACCAATGGAACAGCTTGGCTCGGGGAGTTGTGGGTACACCTTAGCTGGAGCTTTTCAAGAAAGGATTGGACAACCGTTTATCCATATGACAACCAATTGGATGAAATTTGAAGTTTCTGTAATGAATTGAAGTGAATTAACATTATTTTTTAATTAAGATAGCTATTGTGTAATGGAAGAAGAAATAAATGAGATTGGTGATAAAAGGAGGGATGAGAGAAATTAAGAACTAGAATATATCTGGAAGGGATATCTGAATTGATAACTTGTTGAGTTAAAGTGAAATTTGATTTTGGTAATTGTAAACTGATAAAGTTTTAAAACAGGCTTAGTACTAATAGAAATTTAATTTAGAAATGGGATATTTTAAACGTATTATGTCATTTGAGGGAAATAGAGAGGAGACAGTGAATGTATTGAGTTGAGTTGTTTATTTATGTTTTTATTTTGGAACACCTGATTACCCAAACACCACGGTGTGTCCTGAGTACTTTTTCTTAAAAACTAAAAAACCAATAAAATATTTTCAAAAAAAAGAGAGAAAGGATTGGACAACCATTTATCCAGAATGATATAAATTTTCCTGCCTTCTGCAGGAGGTTGGACTAGAAGACCTCCAAGGTCCCTTCCAGGCCTATGATTCTTTTCGATTCCATGATCCCAACTGAGCTCAAGCTTGTAGGCATGAATCTTGAGCTATGGAACAAAGCCAAAGAAATCTGTAAAATCTAATGTGTTCTTTTGACAACGAGATTAAGATATATTTATTCCTTTCGGCTTGCAATTTCAGTTTCTGCTATTTCTAATTCTGTTTCTCTTTGGAGGGTTCCTTTGTCTTGTCTTTGAGGTAAATGATCATTGTTTCTGAAGCTGTACTTTTACACTGATGGGTTTTTGTCTCCGCAAGCCACTTTCACAAAGCAGCCTTGTAATCTTTTTAGTCAACTAATGCGCAAGTACAGGGTACACGATGCTAATATAGCCTATGAGAAGAGACAGGGATAAAGGTTTATATTCAGAAACATACTGGTTTCCCACATTAGTTTCAGGCTTGGAGAACATGCTCAGCAGTTGTTCTCAAAATGCCTAGTTCAATTTTAAATTCCCAGCTTGCTATTCGAATGGCACTGCAGGACATTAAAAGAGCAGGTGGATCCCTATCCTTTAAGACAGGAACATCTAAGCAGGCATCTGTACTGGTGGGAACTGGTGAGCATTGAAATCGAAATTGAAAACATGACAGGAGTCTATATTAACGGCTCCTGCAGGGGAACACGCAAATAGTAGTTGACAGATTATTATTGTGCATAATATATCGCTTTCTAGTAGCAAGTTCATAACCAAATAGTAGAGATCTTAGATGCAATCAGTAGTCTGCAGTGACATAGACACGAAACACTTCAGATGTTTTAAATCTTGATTAGGAAGTAAAGAAAATTTACCCGTCAAATGCAGCAATTAGATTTGAATATGCCGTAATGCACTGTGGATGTGTGTATAGTGCAGTTTTTCTACATCTGCATTTCTTTATTTCATCAATTCAAAAAGACATGCTCAATCCCCAATTCCTGGGAGGATATTACAGGGATGGCAAAAGGAGCTTCTGGAACAGTGCATAAGATGGGGTTTTTTTTTTCCCCAGAGGCTGGACTGGTCAAGGTCTGCTTAGCACTCCAGAAAGTTTTTTAAACTGTAAAATCTTTTGGAAGGGCTTTAAAGGAACATGTGTATACAGTATGTGTAAGGATGCAGAACTGGGAGGGGACCTGTAGCGTGGGAATTTTTTTTTCTCTCCAAGATTTCTCCATCTGTTTAAAGATTCCATTGATGCATTTGCAGCCTGAGTTATGGCTGGAGGTCATTCAAGATCTTCTGCATAGGCTGACTTCCACCTCTTATCCCAAGTCGCTCATTGGGCTAATGAAGCCTGCATTTTGCTCTACTGCAGGGGTCTTCAAACTTGGCCCTCTTATGACTTGTGGACTTCAACTCCCAGAATTCCTCAGCCAGCATGCGCAAGTATGTTTGAGCTGGGGGAATCAGAGCAGGTGGCTGGCGGAGGAATTCTGGGAGTTGAAGTCCACAAGTCATAAAAGGGCCAGGTTTGAAGGCCCCTGCTCTACTGGATCATAAAGGAAGCTTCCATATGGTTCTACCATTTATCAGCATTTAGAACTTAAAGGGAGGCGAGGATGCAGTCAAATCGAAGCCAACTCCTTTGTCTTCGTTTCTGCTCTATCCCTGGAATTCTACCTGCCAGGTGGGAATTCTGCAATACAATAACTGAAGGTATCAGAGGACCTGGGAGGAACCGACTGTGGCTTCATAAGTAGTGAACAAAGGAACTTTCAAATGAAATCAAGTCAAGGAGAAATGGTTTCCTGCAACTTTGAAAGAGAGTATTCTCTCTAGCCATGGGGAAACCACGAAGTCATTACTCCTGATCTAGCTCCTTCCGTCCTTCACTTACTGTGGAGTAAAAGTAAATAGAAATATTTACTTGATTCTAATTTTTAGAGTTCTTTTGTGTTATTATGCAACACAGAGGTTTTTTTAAAAAGGGGAAAAACCCCACCCAAATCACAAAATGGACAATGAGACAGCCATTGACAATGCAATATGTTTTCTCTTTCCATAGGCAGAAATCTAACGATTATCCCCACTGAAATTTTACCAAATTCAGGATTCATTGCAGAATCATGTGTTCATTAATACCTTTGGGGAGTTGTCTTTATTTAGCCGGCTTCCATATTGTACTCAGCCATTATTATCTTAGGCATATCTTGCTAATGGAATACCTGCTCTTAAGTAGGCAAGTGGATTACTGTATTTAAATGCCCTGTACTCTGGAGTGACTTTATCTCAACAACCAAATGTCACAGACGGTCAAATTCAGACATTACCATCTATGGCAACAATAAATTCCTTGTCTTTGTCTTGAGTGAGCAGGAGATTGTATGTATGAAATTATAAACTGCAGTAGGCTATCAATGGAATGCTAATATCCTGTATCTTGTAAGCGTCGTACATACATACCGGGGAAGTGGCTGGAAATGATCATAGGGCATGATTTCCTTAAATCCATCACTGTGAATAAAGCAGAGGCATTTACAAAGTTATTTGCCAGATGCCAGATTACAATTATCCATTTGATGTATTCCTTTATGAATAAAACGCACACCAAACTTGGGGAAACAACTCAGTGGTGCAAGGGGTGTTCTCTTCTTGGCTGTCGTACCTTAATTGTTGAAGTTAATTTTTCCCAAGGAGGTAAGTAAGGAAACCAGTTAGCTAACAAAGACGAATATAATTCCGGGACTTTTTGTAAAAACACAAAATTAGTGCAGCAGTTATTCTCCTAGTCCCTGAGAAGAGTTGGTGGGGTGGATGAATGGGGGAGAAATCTGGAAGCTGATTTTACTTTAGAGATTATGACATCCACAATTAACTCGTTGCGCCTGAATAGAACACATTTACAGTCTCCTCCATTATTAGCTGGGATAGTGGAGCTACAGCAGAGAAAAACATATATCTAGAGTCCCGGATATTAACCACCTGAAGTTAGGGTCTTCGTTGCCTCTTATAGTAGGAACTGCTTCCCAAATACCATTGTGAAGTGTTTTTATACTTTCAGTCCCTTTTCAGAACTCAGGTTTTCCACGAATATTACTGTGGTTCTAAAATTCTAGAGGAACAAAACAGGCTTCCAGGTGAAAGATCTAGATACTACCAAAACTGACATCATTGCACTGTTATTGCTTCTTTTTACAACACAGAAAAGGTGTGAAATGGAAAAATGCAGGAAGTTTCCACATATCTTCAGCCTGGAGAGCTTTCTCCCTCTACCTTACTTACAGTCAGCCCTTCAGAGTAGACCAAATCAGGAAAGAGACTCCGTAGGCGTAGGAAGACGAGAACTAAATCAAGATGTCTGGATCTTCCTTTCCACCTTATTCTTGTATTTTAGGGAGTCAGTGGTCTTTGGGGGGTGGGGGCTATTCTGAATCTCTCCTGCGTCTCTGGACTTAGCATATGTTTCTTCTGAAACATATGTTTTCCCGAGAGTTTACGTAAACCATTTATTCCCTGGATCCCAGCTTTGCGAGGATGGGCCTGCAGGAAGGATCTGGGAAGCTCTGAGCAGCTGAGTGTTTGAGATCTCATAACTGAATGATTTTATTCAACTGGGATCAGAAGAAAAGGACAGTTCTGTTATAAGAAATAAAATCCACCCTAAGCGTTTCCCCTTTTATTTATTGGATATATCAGCCATTCTGCCAGCTGGCATCTCAGGTCTTGGGCTAAATATTGAATGTTATTTTAAGATACTTTTGCAGAGCCAGGAAGCAGCACCAGACGGTCCAACGGCCAGCAGCCTTAAATGTCATTGTGCAACTCAATATGTACACTGCAGCTGCTTTAGGAACTTGGCAGAAGCCAGATGTGGTCACTGTGCTACAAGCGGCTTTCTTTCGCCTTGCACAGAGTTGGAGTCCATTACCCTTAAAATAGTTGGAAGCTGTCAGAGGTTGATCCAAAAGGAATGGAAGTCATGTGATCCCTTGGCATCCAGTAGGTCAATTACTCCCAATGAACAAACTGGGAAAATCAGAATGTCTTGAAGAGGAAGGACAAGGGATGGTGTTGGTGAAGAGTTTAGCATCTTGGATTTGTCAGTTGTTCTCTGGATTCTGAAGGTGGGGGAAATGAAGGGCAGGAGGGTCTGGCCCTGAGGCAGTGACCTCTCTTTCTTCAGCAGCATTCATGGAGGTCAGAATGTACCAGGATCCTCAGGCATTGCCCACAATTCAGGGGATGGTGACCTCGAAACATTTTTCCACACCAAATCGTATTTACTTTCCCTGAACAAGATCATGTCATGGTGGAACCTCATTCTGATAGGCACTATCCCCACCTAATGATGTTTTTAATGATCCTCACTGCATCTCCCCGTTGGAGAAGTCAGTATTTTATCCTTGCAGTTCTCCAGCAAGAATCTTCACCTCAAACCGACTGGTGTTTAAGTTTAGAGTAACCCCACAGGAACAAATTTAAAAAGAAATCACTCAAGAACATGAGTACACAAGTACAAGAACACCAGCTGTCAAATCATTTCTATATTTAAAAAACAGAGTAAAGAAGAGGGGAGGGGAAAGGGAGAAGAGAGGGAGTGGGAGAGAGAGAGGGAGAAGAAGAGGAAGAGGGCGAGGCAAGGAGAGGGAGAAGAACATAGAATAGAGTAGAGTAGAATAAAGTAGGAGTAGAGACAGAATATTGCATATACTGAGAGCTCAGCCCATCACTGCCCTTCTGAGTGACGGGCACTTGGCTAGTTATAAATAAAAAGGAATTAGCAAGGACTTGGAAACTAAAATGCCAACCTCCCATTTATACACTGGAATACAAACCTTGAAGGGCAGGGATCCATGTTACATTCTTTCAGCTTTGGTTTGGGCTTCTTGTTTTCAGGATAATAATGGCAATACTGATCTGGCACCACTCGCTTGGAACGGATATCCACACATTCTACCGAGTTCAGCTGATAACCTAAAATGGGGTGAGAGTAGGCCAGATTTGATTATCAACTAGGCATAATTATTCAGCCACTGATTTCTCCTTGCAATGCCTCATGCCTCCTCCCTTTTGTCTTTTTTCACTAGCCGTATCTTACGACACTGACAAACAGGGTGGCATACCGTCCACCACCACGTAATACATTTACACAGCCATGTGATAACAACAGCTGCTTCCCTTTTCGGTTACATACTCCCTTCCCGTCAACGACGCACATTTCCACCTGCTCCGATTCCCCCATGAGAATGTGGAATGAGCCCTTGGAATGTGGATCAACTTTTTGTAACCCTCTCAGCAGTGGAATCCAGTGCTTTGGGAAGACACAATCCCATCACCTCTCCGTCAACAAGGATCCAAGTTTTTGAACCCGTGCCATAGGTTCGCCACCACTGCTTTAGGCTAACAGAGGGACACTAGAATATCTCCCTCCACAGTCAGTTTAGTAGATGAGAATTCAAGAATCCATTTCATCTCCTTTCAAAACCTACATACGTTAAAGAAAGAGGCATGCCGTTTCCCTGAACCTCCTCTCTGTGGCTTGGAAGTTGAATCTCTGGGCAGCTCCTAAAATCTCCTGCAAGCTTTACTCCTAATAATGTAGAACTTGCAAAAAGAAAAAAGAAAAAGAAAAGGAAGAGGGTAGAGTCCAGGAGTAAAAATCTTGGACATCTCTCTGAACCTCTTCCATAGCATGATGTCTAACATTTGCACACAGCTTACATGCTATACTGACATGCTTCACAGAAATGTATCGTTGGCAGATCTTCCCTGTGGCTTCAGGCAACACCAAAAGTAATTAAAACTGGAAGCCACAATCACTGAAGAGGAGAGCCAAACCCACCACTCGGCCCAGCCCTGCAAAACCACAAATATTTTTAGCATGGCCCCTCCATGCTCAGCAACAGGAGGTGAAGACAAAGAAAACACAACTCTCAAGAAAGCCGCTGGCCCAAGGGATGGCTCTGCGTAAGAATCCTAGGAAGCTCGGTGTGGTTTCCCTGGATGACAATTAAGGAGGGGGAAGGAAGGAAAAGAATGGTTCCTAGGGAAGGGCAGGCCTCTTTGTACTGTGATATGTGTGTGTGTGATTGTGTGTTGGTTTTGAAGTAAGCAAACAAAAAGGATCCCCCCCTCCCGCAAGAACAAACTCCAATGCGGAGACAAGCATGGAGACATCGGCCAAGGTGAAAAAGTCTGCAAGGTTACAAATCAAAGGTTTCTATCAAACACCTTTCCTTGTGCAAAGTATCATCGCACAACGGAATGCGAACCCTGGAAGAAAAACTGAGCATTACAATAATTTTAACGTCTTGCACCAAATCCCACTGAACAAGCAAAAAAAAAAAAGCTAAAATGCTAAAAGGTAAATTCTGAACATTTCGACATTTATTTAAGCCCAGCTGCTTTTTTATGGGATGCACATGGCTTCTGAAATCCCTTTGGACTTCATGGCAGAGAATCGAAGTAGGCGAGAGAGAGAGAGAGAAGGCTGTTTTGAACAAATAATCCGCTGAATGATGGATGGCTGCTCATTTACTCCACCCCTCTCTCGGTTTTGTTTTGAAAAGGATTGTCTCCAGAAAATATTTAAGTCATTTATAAGCCGGTGAAAGAAGCCAAAAGGGAATTTGCCAATGGCTAAACAACCTTATGTCGGAAGCGTTTAGGCCAGGCAGAAACAGAACAACTTTTCTAAAGCACACTACTTTTAAGATTAATGTTCAACCTATATTTTTGGCTCATTTCTTATTTAAAGAGAGGGAGCAAGAAGAAGAACAAGAAAAAAAGCAGAGGAAGGAATGGATTCTTTCGCAAGCCCAAGAGTGTTGCTTCTATGTTTTGGCTTTCGAAGCTGATATTACAAGTTGGATTGCAGTTTGCGTAGGTGCATGTATATCGCTACTCCTTGACGTACGACCGCAATCCAGCCCAAAATTTCTGTTGCTGAGCAAGACAGTTGTTAAATGAATTTTGCCCAATTTTACAAACTCTGTTGCCACAGTTGTTCAGTGAATTACTGCAGTTGTTAAATTGGTCACGTGGTGGTTAAGTGAATCTGCTTCCCCACTGGGACAGCTGTTAAGTTAGCTTTGCCCCCATTTTACAACCTTTCTTTGCCACAGATATTAAGCAAATCATCGCAGTTGTAAAATTAGTAACACGGGTGTTAAGTGAATCTGGCTTCTCCATGGACTTGTTGTCAGAAGGTTGCACAAGGTGATCCCATGACCCTGAGACACTGCAACCGCATAAGTATGAGTCAAAGCCACATGCATTACTCACCTCCTCCACAGGTCACCGTGCAAGGGAAGAATTCGGTCTGTCTCCATTGGTGACTTATGGGTTGATAGAAGAAGAACTGAACCAGGCTATCTTTGGCAGCAGTATATCTGGCCTAGAGAGAGTCCCATTACAACACATTTGAATGCTGCATGTTGGTGATCCTTGGCCTGTCATTGTTTAATTCATGCACCCAAATGCAGTGCCGAAAGCCACGTGATAACAGGCAAGGAGAAAAAAAAACCCATGGGCAGAACCTATGTGCAACCTGACCTTTGAGCCTGATCACTGAGTGACTTATACACACAAATAGGAATAGCAACAGCACTTAGGACTTATATACCGCTTCACAGTGCTTTACAGCCCTCTCTAAGTGGTTTACAGTGTCAGCCTATTGCCCCAACAATCTGGGTCCTCATTTTACCGACCTTGGAAGGATGGAAGGCTGAGTCAACCTTGAGCCAGTAAGGATCAAACTGCTGGCAATTGGCAGAGTTATGGAAGGAAGGAAGGAAGGAAGGAAGGAAGGAAGGAAGGAAGGAAGGGAGGGAGGGAGGGAGGGAGGGAGGGAGGGAGGGAGGGAGGGAGGGAGGAAGGAAGGGAAGGACAATAGCAATAGGAATAGCACTTAGACTTATATACTGCTTCATAGTGTTTTACAGCCCTCTCTAAGCGGTTTACAGAGTCAGCCTATTGCCCCCAACAATCTGGGTCTTCATTTTACCGACCTCAGAAGGATGGAAGGCTGAGTCAACCTTGAGCCAGTGAGGATCAAATTGTCAAACTGCAGACAGCCGGCAGTCAGCAGAAGTAGCCTGCAGTACTGCATTCTCACCACTGCGCCACCACGGCTCAACTGAGCACATTCTATCACTTTCTAAAGAGGGTAGAGTGAAGGACAGGAGGAACAGGCAAGACCAAGTCAACAGACAGATAAGATGGGCTCAAACAGGCTCCTCCCTAGTTCACAAGAAGATAAAGTGAGGAAGGGGGAAAACACATTCAGACTTGCAAGATTCTTCTAGAGTAAAAATAGTTGGTTTCTTAGTCTGTCCTACTTTGTAACACATTCCTTTTGCCTGCTGCGGTTGTCATTTGTTGAACAAAACATTTTCCAAATTAATTATTTCTCAGTTTTAAGGACCGCCCATCTCCCTCACAGAGGGACTTTGATTGGTGGACAACAAAATATAAAAGGAAAAAAAAAACCACGAATGAAGGAGAATCCTGTGTCCCAGGATGATGTTGCAGGACCAAAGGTTTAGTCTTCCGAGCACATGACCGACCCATAAAAAACCGCACACAAAATTTAAAAGAGGGAAAGTATGTTAAAAATAATAATAATTAAAATGTAATGGAGGACTTTTGGGGTGCTAACCAGCCCCATGGCTGCATACTCCTTTGTGCACCCCAAGCAAGGGGGCAAAGCCATGTTTTTATGTCTTTGGAGAAGGCGAGGAGAGTGGGGGGTCAGCCTCATCTCTAGTGGGGGAGTGTTCCAAAGGGGCAACAGCAGAGTAGACTCTCTTCCTGGACCCTACCAATCGGAATTCTTTGGCTAACGGGATCTGCAACGTACCTTTCCCGCTTGACTGGGTGAGACAGGCTGATGTAACAGGAATTTCCAGACAAAACCTTGGCACAGCACAAAGTACGTGCCTTACCTTGATAATGAAATCTGCTCCAAGAGGCCCTGGGATTTTTATTGTTTCTCTCTCTGGGCTCTTCTGAAATTCAACCGTTGTGTTTTCAATGATGTACATTCCAGGGGCATTAAAACCGTGTTCTCCGGTATCTCCCTGCAGTGTCTTTGATTCAATCACTGAAAAGCACAAGAGGAAAATACACATTATCCTTTAGCAGATTATGATGAATTTATGCCAGGCAAAACCAGAAAAGACATTGGCTTCTTGAAAGCAGAGCCTGCACCAAACGTTGTAAATATAAAACATAGATCAGTGTATGCACTATTTATATCCGTACTATCCTGATGACATGGGATTAAAATGAGCAGTTCATCCAATTCCTTAGCACTGCAGCTCTTTTATAGAAGCTCAGATGATTTCTAGTATAATAAAAAGTAACTAATTTATTGCTGGTATACAGTTAAGGAGAAATTCTGTTTCTATGGCTTGGCAGTAAAGCAGGTTTTAAGAAGTTAAAGCATTTCATGGCATCATTTTAAAGTAATACCAAGAGAATTCCAGGAACACACAAATGCAGAGATTCCCTGGAAAAAACAGTCCAGAAGAAACATCCCTATCTTTTTGACCCAAACAAGTCTTCCAAGTAAGAAGTTTGCTGTTTTACATGATACTCACAAATGCAAACTCTATTTTAGGAGGCAACCCTCAAGCACGCTGAAGTTAGTGTTTCTGAATGGATCACAATTTGCGTTCAATATGTTGTTGTTTTTCTGTCCGAATAGGTAGGTTCTTTAGGCAGAGCTGGGCAAATCCATTATTCAATACAGGATGGGAATTGTAAATGGGAAGCCAGGGGCGCACCTAATATCTCACAAGGCGGTAAAATTGCCTTTTTGATCACAAACACTCTGGCCCATGAAAAGGCACCAATTGCCTGCAAGTGCATTTATTGCTCTTAGTTCTTCCGGGCTGACCCATACGCTATTGATGTGGTCAGAAAAGCAGAAAGGGGATCCCATTAGCTGTTCAGATGTGGAAAAGAGGATCGATTAGTCATGTCTCAGAAGAATGTGCCAAAAAGGATAGCAACTTCACCTTTTCCTATGCAAAATAAGTAACAATTGATAGGTTATTGGTTGATGGGATTTTTCCAACCCAGATCGGATAGCCCAAGCCTTCACTTTGGCCTGCTTGCGCATCTGGACAGCTTCAGCCTTATCACCCAGATCACAATGCTCATTACTATAATCTTCCATTATAGTAAAGTTAAGGCTCTTCGTATTACAGCTTTCTGCAGCTGTACATTTGGTTTCCTTTGAGAAATCGATCGTTGGAAGATACGGTGTAATGTTGGCATTGATGTCAGCTGTGATTCTCTTAAAGTCGGCAAACTTTAAGCTGTGTGGACTTCAACTCAAGCACGGACTTCAGCTGGATGGGGAATTCTGGGAGTTGAAGTCCACACATCTTAAAAGTTGCCAAGATCGAGAAACATTGTTTCACAATTACACAGGCTATGCACAATGAGAGGAACAATTTAAAACTTTTGAGGCAGCAGCCATAATCTATTTCTCCTCCATCAGTTCCTAAGGGAAACAATCTCTCTTCTAAGATAGATATTAAGTGCCTGAACGTAGCATTTTACTTTTGTGTTTCTTCACAGACCTGAATTATATTATCTTAAGCTTATGCACCAGAGACAAATTTCTTGTGTGTGCAATCATACTTGGCCAATAAGGAATATTCTATTCTATTCCATTCCATTCCATTCCATTCTTATTCTTTTCCAATTCTATTCTATTCTATTCTATTCTCCATTCTATTCTATTCTATTCTATTCCATTCCATTCCATTCCATTCCACTCCACTCCACTCTCTCTCCTCTCTATTCTATTCTATTCTATTCTATTCTATTCTATTCTATTCTATTCTATTCTACAATCTGTCTATTCTAATCTAATCTACTCTACTCTATTCCCTATTCCCTATATTCTATTCTATTCTATTCTATTCTATTCTATTCTATTCTATTCTATTCTATTCTACAATCTGTCTATTCTAATCTACTCTACTCTACTCTATTCCCTATTCCCTATATTCTATTCTATTCTATTCTATTCTATTCTATTCTATTCTATTCTATTCTATTCTATTCTATTCTATTCCTTATTCTATTCTATTCTATTTCTATTCTATTCTGTTCTATTCTATTCCCATCCTGCCTTCTGAACCAAACAAAACTTTGCTATTACCAATAGTGCAGGTCTGTCATTAAAGGCTCTTGTGTCCACTGAAGCTTGGGTCTATCTTTGGTCTATCCTGGTCTTTCAGGTCTTCCAACTGGGCACCATCTTCACTGTAACTGAGTCCATCCACCTTACTACCGGACATCCTCTTTTTTTCTTTCCTTTTCCCAGCCTTAGAAGCTTCTCCAGAGACCTCACCAAGTAAGAAAAGCTATTTATGCCCATCCTCCCCCAACAATAGGATACTTTGGGAATCTCATATCAAAATACACTATGAAAACATGGCCTCTTTGGCCAAGTCAAAGATGTACTTGAGTTCTGCCTTGACGAAACAAATGCCCAAAGCCCTAACAATGTCTGTGTACTCAAGCTATCGCCTGTACTCAAGCTGAATAATTCACAGCCCATAAATGCATACAAGAGTCTTACATTTGCAATACCTTGCAAATATTCCAGCAATTACTTGTCTCAGCTTTACAAATTACTCTGAGGCGTCATATTCCCTGATCTTAAAAGGAAGGAAATAATGCAAGGGCCCAGGGAGAACTGGGGTATCTTTCTCTTGATTTGCTGGCCCAAATTTATTTTTGGTCTAATTCCAATCAAAACAATGGTGTTGGAAAAGAGGGATAGAACTGGTCTTCTCTGTCTAGACAGAAGTATACTCAAACCCATTTGTAATAAAGGAAGTCATTTGTCAGATGTCCTTTAAAAACAACAGGCATCATTTAAATAACACTTAAAGTCCTTGGAATCCTTCAGGAAATCTGGTAATATGTAAACAATAACAACAGCAGCTTTCAAATCATCCTTGTAAGTGCCTTGTGAGGTAGGTTTGCAAATGGTGGTTAACAATAGCTTATATCCATCTGTAGGTAGTCCTTGACTTACAATATAACCACAGCTGGGCGCAGAATTTCTCTCACTAAGCAGTGTATGACATCCAGTTTTGCAATCTTTTTTTTTTTTTGCACAATTGTTAAGGGAATCACTGCAGAACCATGCCATCATTGACGTGGCTTGTTGGAAGCTGACTGGGAAAGCTGTAAATGATGATGACGTGACCGTGGGGATGCTGCAACGGTCATAAGTGTGAAAAGGGGCCATAAGTCACATTTTCAGTGCTGTCGTAACTTTGAACAGTCACTAAATGAATGGTTGTAAGTCAAGGAGGATGTCATGGTTCTGACAGATGAAACTCTTCAAAGAAGTTCAAGGCATTGTTTACCTTAAAGAATCTTTATGGGAGTAGCATAGCTTTGGCACTAAAATAGTTGAAGCCAAAAACTGGATTCCCCTCCCCTGAGCACATAGTATCAAAACACAGTTCCCTCCTTCAATTAACAGTCATAATTCACATTCTCCAATTAGTTTGAAATGCAGGCTTTCCCTCCTGTTCTGCAACCCCGCCAATTCTTATCATCTCTTAGTTAAAGCTCTGAATTCACATACTAGTACAATCTTGTTATGTCTAGCTAACTCCAACCACATTCCGCCTCCTCCCCCAGCATCATCTAATTCTCAGAGTAAAACATAAGAAAGAAAAAGGCTGCATCTTCATATGTTGTCAAAGCAAGAACATCCAAGGTTTGCAGTGTTGACAGAGTACCTGTAATATTTTTCCAAGGTATGGCACCATCAGTTCCAGAGCTGATCTACAACATCAGCTCTTCTCTACTCTCGCTTGCTCTGTCTGTCAATACCAATTTCCCTGAGGAATGAGCACCAAGCGTTGGGCTGTGAGTCTTATGCTGTGTGTATAACTATTTCTTCAAAAAGGAAAGTCATATTTTATAAATGGCATTTAATACCTGCGAGGTTAGAAAAAATGTTTAAAAATATGTCTAGCAATTGTTGGAAATGTAGACAAAAGCCAGGCACGTACTACCACCTTTGGTGGACATGCCCCAAAGCAAAAAAAATTCTGGTCAAAAATACATATGTGGTTAGAGAAAATGCTAAGAAAACACATAGATTTTAAGCTGGAATTATTTCTATTAGGCATAACCTCAGAAAACTATGATAAGGAATGTGTATATTTAATGTTACGTGTATTAACAGCAGTGAGAATTACATTTGCACAGCATTGGAAAAATGAAGAAACGCCCGCTGAAGAAGAGATAATTAAGAAAATTTTGGACTGTGAAGAAATGGACAGGCTTACGTTGAAAACAAAAGGGAAAGATGATACAGAATACTTTCAAACATGGGATGTATTTTATCAATGGCTAGAAAAATGGACTAGACAGTAGGAATTTAAGATGCATTATTATATTAAATATGTGGACCCAGACAACACATTGTTTACTAAGCGCTAAAGATTCGTAACTATAAAAAAATAATAAATTATTATTATTTTTTTTAACAAAAGGAAAGTTATATTTTGCCAATCCACTCTTGATGGCCACCTGGAAATAACAGCACGTGGCTTTCCAACCATGTCCTCCAGAAGTGATGGCTTAAAATGCCTTTTGAACTTTAAACCCCGCAAAGTCATCGAGGGGGTAAAGTTACAACTCAAACATAACAAGGCCTTTGTTTGCTGCTGTTGGTGAACGTTTCACTGCTAACCCAGCCAACTGAAATCCTAGCTAGCTCAGATGAAAAAGATGGACCCTGTCAGTGTTTAGAAGACCACCTCATGACATCTGCAACGGGGATCCTTATCACAAGACTACACTGAAGGATGATGCATTTCACTGCTGACTTAGTTGGGGCCCAAATAAAAAGCAGTAGCTCCACCAGTGCCAGAAATCATGAATGCAACATGTGTTTTCAAGAATGGTGCCAGGGTTGGGTTTCATCTGTAACAAGCTGCCGTAGTTCTTGCATCTAACAGTGATTAATAGCCCCGAGTCAAACCTTGGGCCAGAACACTCCAAAAGGATTTCTGCAAACTACAGGAAAGGGGGGTGTCATATTAGCAGATGCATTTTAATGGGAACTACTGCACATTGATGTATGCTGTGGCAAAAACAAAGAAATAATCCTAACGCCTTTTAAACTACGGTGGGTGTGAACGGATAGAGTCCTCGCACTATGACTGATAGCTTAGCGACTCTTCAAACTTATGGCAGGCCCCCATCCAAAGCTACTTACCACTTTGTTCCAAAGTGACTACATTTGGGGCAATGGGCAACTGGCTGGCATTTAGAGCTGTTTGCAGCATCATGTGACTGTAATTTATAGACAGATCTTTTCCCAGAAAACAAAGTTTACTTCTGGTTTCCTTAAAAAAAAATGCCCCAAAGCAAACAATCAGTTTGCTTAATGATTGTGGCGTTCACTTTACAAACCACCATTTAAAAGGTCATAACATCCTATCCGGTTATGTGATGACTTGCTTTATGACTGTTTTAACTTGGGATCATAATTGGCAGGCTAAACTATAGTCCTAATCAAGGACTATTGTGAATGATTAAGCAGGAAAAAGTCTTGGACCAAAGAGAAACATCAAGTCACCCTTCCATTGCTTTAAAAGAGCAAATTCAGCTTTAGGAAGAATGAGACAAAGAGATCTGAAACAAAACTGTCTCTCTTAGAAAGCTTTTCTAGAAACATAGAATGCCACCAGTGGCTAGAACTTTGCACTTAAAAGGGGTCTGATGAGTCTCTCTTATGTCATGTGTTAAGTTGTTAGGGGAGCTGGGAACAGTAGTTTCTCCCCGAAAACCAGCCTGCTAGAATTCATAATTTTTTCCATCTTTGCATTATTCTCCAAGAAGAAACAAAAGACTTTAAAAAAAAATAAAATGAATAGAGTAGAGTAGAGTAGATTAGATAGAGTAGAGTAAAATAGAATAGAATAGAATAGTAAAATAGAATAGAATAGAATAGAATAGAATAGAATAGAATAGAATAGAATACAGGATATAGAATAGAATACAGGATATAGAATAGAATAGAATAGAATAGGAATAGGAATAGGAATAGGAATAGGAATAGGAATAGAATGGAATGGAAATAGAATAGAATAGAATAGAATAGAATAGAATAGAATAGAATAGAATAGAATAGAATAGAATAGAATAGAATAGAATAGAATGAAGTGGAGTGGAGTGGAGTGAAGTGGAGGAATAAAATAGATTATAGAATAGAATAGAATAGAATAGAATAGAATAGAATAGAATAGAATAGAATAGAATAGAATAGAATAGAATAGAATAGACCTCCATCTTCAAATCAAACTATATACCATGTTTCTTTTTTAATACTTATAAAGAAAATTAGAGAATTCACTCACATGGCTAACAACTCAAAATGCAAGCTTCTGTCATTCAAAAAAGAAAAAGAAATTTAGCATCCTTCAGTTTGCTTCCAACTAGACTCTTGTAAGTTCATGAACTTGGTTATCTAGCATTAGCCACTTGTGAAAATATTAACTTCTGGTTGTGTTGCTTCTACAGCAAGGGGATTATTTTCAGAGAACTCTGGCTTACTTTGGATTCTATATCCTTAATACTTTTGGAAAGCCTGCAATGTATTCTAACAGCCCTCCCCTTGGTCTCAAACCCACTTACTCAGCCCCTGCAACTATTTAATGTTAAACAAAGGGAGTGTAAGAAGAAAAATAAATATCTTTGCACAGGTAGCAAAATCCACTTTCAACCGAGTGGGAGCAAACTTGCAATCTTCATCATTCCCATGTTTGTACATAAAACAATCACAAGTGGATCCTGTAACCAAGGAACACAAATACTAAATTGCAGTCTTGTTGTCAAGGAGGCTGTCTTACCAAATGGAATTACACATATCACTAGACTATGTTATAATAAGTTGCATAGCAATAGCACTTAGACTTATATACCACTTCGCAGTGCTTTACAGAACTCTCTAAGCAGTTTGCAGAATCAGCATCCTGCCCCCAATAACCTGGATCCTCCTTTTACCGACCTCAGAAGGATGAAAGGCTGAATCAGCCTTAAACCGGTCAGGATTGAACTCCAGGCTGTGGGCAGAGTTAGCCTGCCATACTGCCCTCTAACCACTGTGCCACCATGGATGGATGGATGGATGGATGGATGGATGGATGGATGGATGGATAGATAGATAGATAGATAGACAGATAGATAGCAATAGCACTTAGACTTATATACCCCTTCACATTGCTTTACAGCCCTCTCTAAGCGATTTACAGAATCAGCCTCTTGCCCCCAACAATCTGAGTCCTCATTTTGCAGACCTCGGAAGGATGGAAGATTGAGTCAACCTGAGCCTGTCAGGATCGAACTCCTGGCAATTGGCAGAGTCAGGCTGCAGTCCTGCATTCTAACCACTATGCCACTATGGCGCTTCTATATGGTTTATAGTTCAGCATATTGTGGGAACCAAGCCATCTTTTTAAGCCAACCTATGATTCTCTGTATCTCCCAGTATGTTATATGAACACCTGTGCTTGATAATCCTGGTTTAGGGCTAAATATTCCAGATAAACCCAAGCCATTTTGTACTTTTTTTTTAATCAAGAAGAATAGGCGAAAATGCTGCAAAACTGCTTTCACTAGTAACCATAATTTATGCCCAAATACAGCATTAATATTTGCACATAGACAAAAGAAGTCAAATCTTCAAGTACACTTAAACTCCGAAATATCTGAGAGTACTAAAACATGAGTAGGGTTGATTTTTGTTAAAGAACTCTCTGTTCATAGTGAACGGTGTAAGCCCCCCCCCCAGAGTTACCTTGTGGTTGAGCTGGGCAACACACAAACAAACAAACAAACAAATCCATACCGAGTTGTGCTGGTCCTTTTATAGTAATTCTTGCACTGCGACTTCCATGTGGAACAGCAATCATGGTTTCCTCCCCTAAAAAAATTAAATGCACTCATTTTAAAAACAATATTTTACAAAAGAATTATCACCTTCCATGACTAGACTTTTTTAAAAAAAGGTACACTCACAAAATATGATGCGTATTTTGCATATGATTCCTAAATGAGGCTGCCATTATACTACAGGTGAATATGTAAATCCATCCACTGGATACTTACTTTGTGTACACCCACACAATATATTAGGCATTACATTCTCATTGCTTGGACTACATATTTAATTACTACCCTGAATTAAAACATAGGCAAGTTATACTGTACAGAATTCTTCCCGGTAAAAACCATTAATGACTGTTTACCTAGATTTTGTCCAGAATTTAACTCCTATAGCTAGAAACAAATCAACTACCTAAATTCTAAAAACTTGCAATTTGCTAAAGGTTAAAAAAATAAAATAAAAACCAAACTAGCCCTGAATCTGTTGATTTAAACCTCTTTCCAAATGTTTTCATTTATTTATGCACAGAAACGTTTTAAAGTTGTCTACATCTGGCTTTGCTGTTGTAGTGACAGGTTTAGCCTATATTTCAATGTACCCTTGCAGAAACCACGGGAAGCTCTTAAATTCAGTGGCCATTTATAATGCTGCTTGCAGGGCTGCTCTTTAAAAAAAACGTGACAAGAAGTTCAAAAGCCAAAACTGGGCGCCACGTCCTTCATGTCCTTGTTCAAACCAGCCTTAGCGATCATTTTACCTCCCCCTAAACCTGCCAGTATAATTTAAAATATTTTATTTGATCAGCAACAATGTTAATTTTACCTTTGGTCAAAAAAAAAAAAGAAAGAAAAGAAATGTCTTTTGGAGAGGAGATCAATCTGAATATATATATTCAGGAAAAATTCCTGGTTTTATCTGTGACTCCTTGAAGGCCCTCACAATCTTTCCGAAAGCTGCTATCAAATTGCAATTTTATTTTATTTTTTTGTCGAAATGAAAATTATTAAGCAGGTGAACCTTCAGATCAAACCACATTTGTTTTATAATCCTTGATAGGAGCGAACATATTATCAGTCTTATTGAGACAAAACCAACCAACCGACCGACATTAGCACAAAGAATTCACCGCTAATAGAGAGCGGTGACGAGATGGCTTTAAAGAACTTGAAGACAAAAAGTCAGATTCTCAGGAAAAGAAAATCTCGAGAGATTTTGCAGCCACTGAACAGCTCTATTTCTTTTTTTTTTTTTACAAATTTTATTTATAATACAGTTAAAAACAAACAAAAATTGGATTTGATGTGACATTCCAGTATATACATTCTTATCAGATTATTCCACTTTTTACAATCAATTCTTCATCTCTGCATATACATCTAAGTTTTATATATAATACCGTAAATGCCGGCGTATAAGGCGACTTCCGCGAGCGCTGAAATTGGCGCCAAAGACGGGGGTCGTCTTATACGCCGAGTCGTCTTATACGCCGGAAATACTGGTAGTTTCCGGCGTATAAGACGACGTTCTAGGAATGCGGCCCGGCTATAAAGACGGGGGTCGTCTTATACACCGGGTCGCCTTGTACGCCGGCATTTATGGTACTTGTTCTAAATAACATATATTTCTATCTTAACATTCATCTTTAATCCCGACTGTCCTTTTCAAATTCCTCCAGCGGTAAAATTTATCCCAGATTTCATAATAAACTGATCCACATTTATCTTTTAATATCATTGTGAGCCTGTCTATTTCCGCACATGCTAATATTTTATGTATTAACTCTTCCTCTGTGGGAATTTCCTTGCTCTTCCATTTTTGCGCTAAAGCAAGCCTAGCTGCAGTCAGGATGTGTAGTAGCAGGTAGATTGTTCCCTTGTCGTATTTTTCTGTCGTTATTCCCAACAAGAAGACTTCAGGTTTAACTCTAAGTCTAGTGTTAATATATCCCTCAACCAGTTTCGTGAACAGCTCTATTTCTGAGGAAAAAATCCCCAAAGATGAGGTCTATAATTCACAAGCAGGAAACCGTGTAGTGCAGGGGTCTGCAACCTTGAGAACTTTTAAGACTTGTGGACTTCAACTCCCAGAATTCCTCAGCCAGCTATGCTATGCTGGCTGAGGAATTCTGGGAACTGAAGTCCACAAGTCTTAAAGTTCTCAAGGTTGCACACCCCTGGTCTAGTGTACGGTACCTGGATAAATGACACTGGGCACATGGGCTCAACAGGCGTATGATTTATCCAGGCCTCAAGTCCTATCCAGCTCTTCATATACTCACAAGACCGCCTTGAGCACTGCCTCTGTAGAGTATTCAGGATGTTTTTCATGGAGGGGGACATTAATAAGAGCACTGGGCTCTCAGCGTGAACCCCAATCTGCCACCAAGTCTGTAGATTTAAAAGGCCTGCCGTCCTCAGAATGCAAGCCCTACAGTTACTGAAACAAAAACTCTTATATTCTTACACGGAAGCACACAGGGGGTTGCTAAGCCATACAATTCTATTAAATCAGTAAGAAATATGTTGTTTTTAAAAATGGGGGAAGGAGGAAAAAGTACCTGTATTTAAGAGGGGGGGAAGCTACAATCATATTTTATCGTTTCCATTTCTATTTCATTTAGTAATAGTCAGCTTTGGTTGAGGGTAGTAGTAGATTCTGGCCAAAGAGAACATCCTCCTCCTCCTCCTCCTCCTCCTCCTCCTCCTCCTCCTCCTCCTCCTCCTCCTCCTCCTCCTCCTCTTCTTCTTCTTCTTCTTCTTCTTCTTCTTCTTCTTCTTCTTCCCCTTCCCCTTCCCCTCCTCCTCCTCCTCCTCCTCCTCCTCCCTCCCTCCTCCTCCTCCCTCCTCCTCCTCCTCCTCCTCCTCTTCTTCTCTTCTTCTCTTCTTCTTCTTCTTCTTCTCTTCTTTCTTCTTCTTCTTCTTCTTCTTCTTCTTCTTCTTCCCTTCCCCTTCCCCTTCCCCTTCCCCTTCCCCTTCCCCTCCTCCTCCTCCTCCTCCTTGGTATGTTTCTGTTAATGCACATTACTATAATAATAATACTTCACTGATTAACAGAAACATACTACAGATAGTCCTCAAGTTACGAGCACAACTGAGCCCAAATTTTCTGTTGAGACATTTGTATCATGAATCAACAATTAAGTTAGTCATATGATTGTTAAGTGATTCTGGCTTCCCTACTGACTCTGCTTGTCAGAAGTTCACAAAAGGGCATCACATGACCCCGAGACACTGCAACCGTCATAAATACATGCCAAGTGTCCAAATTCTGATCATGTGACCACGGGAATGCTGCAACAGTCATAAATGTGAAAAACAATCATAAGTCATTTTTCAGTGCTGTTGTCACTAAACCAAACTGTTGTAAGTTGAGAATGACCTGTATTTAGGATGCAGGAAGTGATATTTCTGCTCCACTTTGCAGTAGTCAGGATGTATTTGGAAAACGGTGACCAATATATTTTCAAAGGCACATTAGAAAACTAAAGTACTGTATTTTCCGGCGTATTAAGATGACTTTCTAAACCATGAAAATCTTCTCCAAAGTCGGGGGTCGTCTTATACGCCCAGTCATCTTATACGCCGGAAAATACGGTAAGTCAATGAGAGGTCAGTGGGGCAGTGGAATAGACTGGAAATCATGTTCTGTATGGAATGGTATAGTTTCCCCATGGAAGAGAATTGGTGACATTCAAGTTCTCTTCAAACATTTGAAAGAATATAGTGCACAAAATGAAGTGGGAAGACTCCTTCAAGAACAGACTGAAAATAATTAGTGGGAACAGCAGGAAAGCGTGTATGTTTGGATATTAGGAGACACCTACATGGGGCAGAGCTTCAGGCAGTTTAGAACACAACCTGAAGAGAAAGGAGGCTGTCTCTCACCAAATCATGTTTGCTTGGAAACTCAGAAGAAATGAACTACAGCTTAGCTCAGGGGCGGGGAACCTTGGCTCTTTTATGACTTGTGGACTTCAGCTCCCAGAATTCCTGAGCCAGCATGGCTCAGCTTGGAAACCTCTCCTTTTCCCCTCAGCAGGGCTGGCTCAGGAATTCTGGGAGTTGAAGTCCACAAGTCATAAAAGAGCCAAGGTTCCCCACCCCTGGCTTAGCTGCTCACAGGAACTCTATGCTACAATACATTGCAAAGTTGCATCAGGTAAGACAGGCCTCATGGAAGACATAGAGCTGTCAGGACCACGGACAGCGCAATGCAGATACAACAAGCCGCATTCCCTTAACAAGAACTGTTCAGGAATAGGCCTGCAGGAGAGGCTTTAAGGAAGCGGTCATGGCCTGGTATTTAAATTGCTCCACCCATAGATGCATTTTGTGGTTCCTAAAACGCCTATGAATATTTAGCCTAGGAAGAAAAGAAGAGGAAAGACGGAGGTGGTAGAAGGATCAAGGTTACAAAATTATAATGCAAGTCTTCCTCATGATGAACCCAAAGGCATAACCCTTTTGGAAACAAAAGTCTGCTAGGAATTCTGTAGATACAAGATTCCTGCAGTGGTGACTCCCATAATGTCCAAAACCATCTATCTTGGAGCAAAGCATAGTACTAACAACACTACTAGTACATTCCATTTTTGATGTTAAATCTGTGGGAATGTATCCATTTCTTTTATCTTAAAGCACGCCTTTAAGTACATATGTTCTAGGTTATGAAAGGCATATTTTAAGGTAAAAGAAATGGATACATGATTATAGATTTATAATATATATATGAAAGTAAAGTAGATTAGGGTAGTCCCATGGAGAGATAGATGGCAAATATATTTAAGAAATATATGTATGCGTATATCTGTACGTGTGTGTGTGTGTTTGCTTCTTGAGTGCATACAAGACTGTATATAGATGTGTGTGTGTGTGTGTGTTAAGTGCAAACAAAATGGGTATGCTTTGTAAAGCATCAAAATGTGCTGTGCAAAGCAGAAGTATTGGAAAAAATATGTAATTTCTCATACGGTGGTTTAAAGAAATGCAAATTAATGTTGCATTCTTATGGATTGCACCTATTGGTGAATATGCAAGAAACTGGCCTGAACTGCAAGAACATTCCTTGCCAATCCATGGTCTTAATTAGAAATTGTGAGAATCTTCTAGAGTTGCCATTCCTGCATAAATTATTGGGCTGTAGTGACTAAGCCAGTTCTAAGGTTAGCCCAGTTCTCATTTTGACTTGAAGAGACATTTGATCCATATGCACTCTAATATCAGACTGGTCTCATCCAAACTGAATCAATGTCCTGAATTGGATATGAACCATTACTTCAAAGTTCAGCTGGAATGGTTTGATCCTTCGATATTACTATAACCACTAACAGCAAATGTAGTAATGATATTGTGTAGCTCACCTCTCTATTGTAGGATTTACAACAGAAAGCACTATGGTTTTTCTAACACGCAAGCTTCTAGTTATGCTTCTGGCTTCAACATGTACCTCTTTACAACATGTATCTCTTCACAGAGTTGTGCAGAAGGCAAGGAGCAGAAGGGTGTGCAAAGGAATGAAAGAATGAGAGAGGACTGTCTTTGTTTCCTGCTTACAACTCTTCTTAATGCTAGTATTATGGAGAGGGAGGCATTTAATACCACATACTGCCTGCCACAAAAATTAAACCTATTCCTTTACTTCCCTGCAAGTCTAAAGGGACTAAAAGCATGTCACAATTCATAAGCACTGATACACTTTATGAAAGTCTGCTGTAGCCTTAAAGAATTAACAGTTGATACATTCTAAAGTCGGGGGGGGGGGGAAATGAAGTCATAAAATCCTAAAAGCAGCACCAGGGAGCTCAGGAAATAGACAAGGACGTATGGGTCATTAGGCAGATAATATCCATTTTAGTCTGGTGCCATTTCTTTCAGCAGAAAGGAATACCCCAGACCTTGCTTCATATTTCCATCTAACAATATTGCCAAACATCTCCTCAATTTAGGAGAAGCAGTTAAGTGGGACCCCCAAAAGGTAAATAAGTATGGGGGGGGGAAGAAAAATCCTGACTGTCTTCACTGAAATAAAGTGGTGTTGCTCCCAGGTTTAACTAAATGAGATTGTTGGATAGAAGTGATCTAGAGCACCCTTCTATTATCCTCTCACTAGAATAGGCAGAGAAGAACCCAAATCAACCATGCATTCTAGAGAAGACTTTGCAAAGCTTCTCTCTTCTGTTGCTTCAAGAACAGAAGAAGGTTTCAAACCTCCGAACACGTTTTGCCAGTCATTAAAAGGAGGGGAAAAAAAGAGTAGGGGGGGGGGAAAGGCAGCAACTATTAGACGGAAGCGGTGTTGATCTTGATGGGAGTTGCATACATAAAAGAATATGTCCTTGATGCTCTCTGAGCTTGGTTGTTGTTTTTTTGCAAACAATTTCATCGCCCAAACCGTCACTGAGTGGAGTTAGAGGACAGGAGGGAGGGAGGAGGAGGAGGATTGTGGGGTCTTTAATGCTCTCTGACCTTGATTGTTTTCCTGTAAATGTTTCATTACTCAAACTAGGTGACATTATCAGTGCTAGAAAGGGAATAGGGTTTGCAGAGTGAAAGAGAAGAGGAGGAGGAGGAGGAGGAGGAGGAGGAGGAGGAGGAGGAGGAGGAGGAGGAGGAGGAGGAGGAGGAGGATGACAACGACGACAACAACAACAACATTGACTGTGGGGTCTTCAATGCTCTCTGAACTTGGTGGTTTTCTTGCAAACGTTTCAATACCCAACTAGTAACATTATCAGTGCATTTCATTACCTAGTTGGGTAATGAAATGTCTGCAAGGAAACCACCAAGCTCAGAAAGCACCAAGGACCTCACATTTCAACCCTGAGTTATAAAAAAATCTCCTTTATTGGTAATGCATAAAAGAGCTAAGATATTTCACTTTCCCAGGGGTATGGCAGATTTTACCACTTTCCATCAGTCAAACGTTTGATCATTTCCCAGAAAGTCAGTTTTTGTTTGACCCAGGCACAGTCTGACCCAGAAGATAGCAGCCTCATGTTCCTAAATTTATTCTGTTCTGTCCACACACTTTAACGGCCTCTACTTATACAAAAACTGTATTTTAATGCGGTGTTTTGTTTTAAAGCTACACACTGCAACAAGTCAGTGACAAAAAGTGAAATTAGAATATTGACTTAGGCACACTAATAGGTGATAAATTACAGAATCATATATTTACACCCAAAGGGGGGGGGGAAACCCATGATTCAGGCAAACTTTTCAAAACCACACAGCAGTGGAATGATGAGAAAAACATGCAATGGTGACTTTGATCCAAAGAACATCAAACCTAAGGGGAATCTCGTTGTCCAGAAATTCTGGGGAGATCAGGCCCATAATAAAGCCAAGTTTTTTCTCAATATTCAGTTTGAAGCCTCCATTAGTGGCAATGATTCAATATCTTTTGAACACCACCTCTCTCTTGGATACAACCCAAAAATTTGAACCCTGTCTTCTTGATGAGTTCTCTCCCCAGCCAGATTCCTGATAATTTCATATTACAGGCAGGATCCCAATTTTCTGAAGCTTTATTTCAGAATGTAGCTGCCCACTTTCTGATCTTCCCTACAATGTAGAGATTTTTTTTTTTTTTTTTTGCCCTCCAAACAATCCAAGTGCTGAACCACAGAAGTTCAGCCAGGAAAAATATCCAAATTTAGCAGATGAATTTGTCTATTTTGGTACTTAACTCTCCTTCAAAGGCCCCCGTTTTCTATGAATTTTATCTTTCTTTCACAAGGAGTGGGAAAACAGACAAATTGGAATGGAAACAGATTACAACAACTATAATTTTCTGAAAGCGCCTGCTTCATCATTTGCTCAATGTAGGTAAGAACGAAAAACAAATATTTCTTTTTGGCTATGAGTCATCACCACCATCAAGTTATTTTGCATTGTTTTATATGTGCCAGCATTGCCTTTTTAAAAATACCCTCCAATTAAACCTTTGGTACCAGCATTCTCTTTTTAAAAATATCCTCCAATTAAATATTTGAATGATGCTGATGGTCCAGGGGAAAATAGATCTAATTTATGAATTCGTGGATGAGTCAAGAGACTAGGTCAGGGGTAAGGAACCTTGGCTCTTTTATGACTAGTGGACTTCAATATCCAGAATTCCTGAACTAGCTATACTGACTCAGGACTAGAACTGACTCAGGACTAGAACCTAGAACTAAGGAGAAACTTCCTGACAGTGAGAACAATTAATCAGTGGAACAGCTTGCCTCCAGAAGCAGTAAATGCTCCAACACTGGAAGTTTTTAAGAAGAGACTGGACAGCCATTTGTCCGAAATGGTGTAGGGTTTCCTGCCCAAGCAGGGGGTTGGACTAGATGACCTCCAAGGTCCCTTCCAACTTTACTACTATTACTATTACTATTCAGGAATTCTGGAAGTTGAAATCCACAAGTCATAAAAGAGCCAAGGTTCTCTATCCCTGGACTAGGTGATTATTGATTCTCTTTAAGCTTTGGTCCTTTGACTTGGAACTATAAACCATAAAGCCAACAAAATTATCCCAAAGAGACTTTATTCTACCTGTCTATTTACACAGAGAAAAATACATAAACGCATACCAGATAAGAATCATAAGAGCTATTTTGTGGGTGGTTTTTGTTTGTTTGTGCCTTCAAGTCAGTCCAGACTCCTGGCGATTCCCTGCACAAATCTCTGAAGGGGTTTTTTTTTTGGGGGGGGGGCAAGGTTCTTCACAACTGGTAAGCTATTGCATCCTTCCTAGGACTAAGAGAATGTGACTGGCCCAAGATCACCAACTGGCTTTGCTCCTAAGACTGGACTTGAATTCCTAAGTCTCCTGGTTTCTAGTTGGATGCCATATTCACCACATCAAACTGCTTCTCATTTTGGTGTAGTGCTTAAGAGTGATTAGAAGCAAATCACTTCCCAAAACTTGCCAAGAAACTTTAGGGAGTCAACACTGACTCAAAGGCATCCTCTCCCCCCTACTCCCAAAATGGTGTTTACTCAATTGAATTTCTCTCTTAAAACTCATCTTTCAAATCCTTACATAATTCTCCCAAGAGTCAACATTGCCTAATAGAACAACCTAACATGAACCCTTCCCAAAACAAACTCCAAATAATTCTAGATTCACTTAAATTGGCACAATCCACAGTAATTACCCTGCTGGAAATTCCGAGGATACATTACACATATTTGAGTTGCTGGAGACTTACTTTTTTCTGAGGAAAGATGTGTCTTAGTCTGCCCCCTCACCAGCCGGCAGGTGGAACCATCACCTGAGCAGATGCCACAGTTGTCTTCTTTGGCGTGACTCCCAAGCTGTCGATCACAGCCCACGGCCTGCCAATATCAACACTGGAGTCAGAAGGACAAAACTGACATAGGCCACTCAGTTGTTCTAGAACAAAAATATCACATTCTCTCTTTCTAAGTTGCCTTCAGTCCCTCAAAAGCATAATTTGGTTTCTTAACATTTCAGTGGGAAAAGTACTTTAAAGTAATTATTCCTTAATGGATTTACGTTTTAGGCCATAACAATTAACCACTTCTGGTGTCCTTGCCTAAGAATAGAATAGAATAGAATAGAATAGAATAGAATGGAATGGAATGGAGAATAGAATAGAATAGAATAGAATGGAATGGAATGGAATGGAATGGAATGGAATGGAGAATAGAATAGAATAGAATAGAACAGAATATAGGATAGGATAGGATAGGATAGGATAGGATAGGATAGGATAGGATAGGATAGAATAGAATAGAATAGAATAGAATAGAATAGAATAGAATAGAATAGAACAGAACAGAATAGAATAACAACTTTATTGTCACTTTGAATGTACACTAATCGGCATACATTAAAATAAAATTTCATTGCATACAGCTCTCAAAGGGTCACCACCTCCAATTAACACTACCTAAATATGACAAAAATAAATAAATACAGAATTATGCTTATATGCAATTATGCAAATGTTTAAGATGTCTGCGTTAGTCAGAAAAACACTATTCTGTCTCCCAGCACTTGAAGTCAGAGAAACTCAATCACTGTGAGGTTAAAGAAGTTAGTTTTCATCACGTCCAAAACAAGAAAGCTTACGCTTTGGGGAATTATTTGTTTCTAGACTTCTCTGCAACTAAGGCAGTGACAGCAATATCACTCTTAATTGGCAATATTGCAGTTTTGAGATCCTTATAAGTATCTCTGTGCAGTTCCCAACTAACAAAATTCAATTTAAGCAGCTTATTGTAACGTTTTCTTTCATACTCAATTTCTCAATCTCTTTTGGTACTTCAGGTTTCTATGTCTATCTCAATTAAAAAACATGAGCTGCCTTGGGGAAAAAAAATATTGCTCAGAATAAGCCCCCTGAGATCAAGTCAATGATTTAAGTCCTGATTCAGGTTCTCTCCCATTGATTCGGTGTATCTACCAATCTGTAATCTGATTCTACCTTAATCCAAACCCATTGGTTTAATTCAATAAATCTTTTATACATCTAACCCTCATTCCTTTCTTCTTACAGGCAACATGGAGAAAATTAAATTAGAAGGAAAATGTTATTTGAGGGAAAAGGACCCTTAACCTTAAAGTAATTTCATCCTACTTCTGTATCAGCTTGTCAGTCTACAACTTCGAAAAAAAGAGAGAAAGAAGTGCATACTTTTAATAAACATTTCTGTTTTTCCTTCAATGTAAACATTCCCCAGGCAGGATATATCATGTACTGTTTTAAGCTGCCCCCTTATTTTCATAAACTTTTCCTCAAATATCTACACATTTGTACTGTGATTTGAATAGAAAGCGATATCACATTTGTAAACATACTGCAGCATAGCCTGTGTGAATTCTAATACATTATTCTCTCTCTCTCTCTCTCTCTCTCTCTCCCCACCCCCCAATCTAACCTCCAGTGATGGAGGACCCACAGCTTACAAAGTTTCCCCTTAATTCCACGTTGACTCCCTCTTCTTTGTGGCAGACCCTCAAATATTGGAAGACTGCTATCATGACGCCCCTAGTCTTTTCATTAAACTAGACATACCCAATTCCAACAACTGTTCTTCATATATTTTAGTCTCCAGGCCCTTAAATTATTTTAGTTGCTCTTCTCTGCACTCTTTCCAAAGTCTCAACATTTTTTTTTTTAATAACATGGTGACCAAAACTGGATGCAAGATTCCAGGTGTGGACTTACTAAGGCTTTATAAAGCGGTACTAATACTTCACCTTGATTTCAATACCTTGATTTCATGTGGTTGAGCTTAAAGTCTTGAATTCTTCTGAAAGCAACTGCAGTTCAGTAAAATAATTCACAATCACTTTGTAAAGATTGTTTCTTGAACATGGGATACATCTAATTTATTAAGAAGGCAAAGTTTCAAGTACATAGAGAGCTGAGCAGGAAAACTGTCTGGCAAAAACCTCGCTCAAATTCACACTTCATCTCAGCCAACCATAGAAGACTCAAGATTTCAACAATTAAGGCATTTGTTCAGCTTAATGCACCTCATATTGTTGGCTATTTACTGAGCAATGGGATTAACTATAAATATTACAGGCAGATTGGGAAAACATCTGCAACCTTTTAGGGCATATCCAGAAATAATTATAAATAGCTTTTTCCCTTTATTATTATTTTTTTTTTAAAAAATAACCCTCTAGTATTGCCTTAAATGAAATAAGTGACAGTGCATTTAAACAAAAGGAATTAATGGAAGAATTGGGACTGTGTCAAACTATTAAAATGAACCATCATCGCATTGCTGCAAAAAGTGGCAAAAATGTTGTAATGTTCAAACTATACTAAATGCTCCAAACAATAAGGGTTTGGTTATGTGTGTACATGTTTGTGGGTTTGTTTATTTGGAGAGAGACGGGGGAAAAAAGGAGAATATGTATATCGAAAAAGCTGTGAAGTTTTTACCTATAACAGAAATGTTTAAAAATAGCTGAATGGCAAAAAAAAAAGTACGCATCATATAGGTGTTGCTTATCCAAAAGTTTTGCTTCAAAATAATTCTGAATGCTTTACTCAAGCCAGAATATTATCTAAAGCCAATGCTTTGGTGAAGATTTAATAATCAACACTATATTCAGCTAATGCTTTGGAGAAAAATCTTAAGGGTGGATGAATGCCATCTGAAGTGTCTTTGAATGAGTTGAATCCTGCTTTTGTCTCTATTTTCTTGAGAACTATTGCCACCTTCAACTAACTGATGGAGTGACATGTAGGTGATGAATCAACAAGCCAATGGGGTGGTTTTCCTTACTTCCGAAGGTAGGATCTGAGCAAACAGCTCAAAATGACAGCAATTTCCACTAAAAGTTAGGACACCCATTTAATAATAAAACAAGCCATCTTGGAAGTTGACACTCTCTTTATAGAGGGTTCAAACAGAAAAGATTGGCAATTACTTTTCTATTCTTCTTTCTGAACTACAAATCTCGAGGTCCCTCAACCTTGGATGTGTGACTGAGTTCCTTAGACTGAAGTTCAACAACCTTTGGTGTGGGTGTTCCAACACCAGAGATTTTTAAGAGCAGATTGGACAACCATTGTCTGAAATGGTATAGGGTTTCTTGCCTGAGCAGGGGGTTGGAGTAGATGACCTCCAAGGTCCCTTCCAACTCTGTTATTCTGTTGGGTTGTGCATTCTGAACCACTCTAGAAGCAGATCTGAAGATACCTAAATCTAGTCCTATCACCACATCCATACCAATAAATTATACTAAAAGCTAAATTTCCACTAATTCATTCTTTGGGGGAAAGAGTATTTTTTTCTTTTTAAAGCAACAGCTTTAAAATACGAGAGAGACTGAAAACTACGGTTACTGAATAACCCACCATAATACAAACAAGAAGAGGTGAAGACTAAATTAGTCTTGATATATTAGAAGCAGTTATAGAACTTCATAAATATTTCTCAAAATGTAAATCCAGAAATCAGCACACAAAAAAAAGTTTCCACAGCTGTTTCTATAGTTCTCCCTTCTCATTTGGATTAAGCCAACAAATTAGATTTAAATGAAAACCATGAACACAGGATGTTTCATTTCGATATGTGAAGGTTAATGCAGAACTGGCCACATTCAAGAATGTTCATTTCTTAAGCAGATGGTAGGATTTAAATGTCACCAAAAAGAAAGGGTGGAGAGAAAGAGGAGAAGACAAAAAAAAAAAAAAAAAAAAAAGGCAAAGTCAAGACAGTAAACATAGCGCTATCTAACACACTGATCATGCCTAGCAAAATATCTTGAGAAACTATTTTAGTCTTGGCTTATCCAAAGAAATTACATGCTGAGTGTAATGAAAAAAGCTTCCACAGTTCACCTAATTCCGGTCATTCTCACAGAATCCCAGCCAGAGGGATGGGAAAAATAAGTGTAATATTACTACCAGAGATCAAGTGCTAAGATTGTGCACTTTTCTTTGTGACACGCAACCACCCTGTGAAGATTTGCGAGTGATCTGAAGGCAACTTCCACAGAGGAGAGAGGCAGGCCTACCTTATATATTGGCCTCTGAGCTTTACTTACGCCTTTGCTTTCGATGAGCAACTTGATCCCTAAGGGAGCATCAAGGGATCTAGTAAATATTTCCTCCAATTGTCTTAAAAGTTGTAAAACAGAAGACCCTTGAATTATGTCCAATTGGAGAAGTGCCACCCAGCTTCATACCTTTGCTGAAATTCCCCCCCCCACCTGAAGATGGTTGGAATAGCCCCCCAAATAACTTCACAGCCCCCAAATGAGGTCACAAATGGGGAAGAGGGAGCTTGAGTTTTGAATATGCAATGCCACCAACGGATCACTTTTTCCCTGTTGCATTGCCATCTAAATTGCACTGCTCCTGCCAAACCAGAAGGAAGCACACTCTGTCTTGCTCTGTTGACGGACACTGGAGTAGCATGTCTTCATGATGACAATCCATTATGATCTGCCTTAGGTGCTTTGTGGCCCAAAATGGGATGCCAGGTGTTTAAAACAAGCGGTTGAGTGACCATATGGTTTTTTCCCATAACATTTATAAGCCACAGCTTCTTGACATGTGTTCATGATGGGAGCAGGAAGGATTTTAAATGCAACTCTGGGGATTTCTTTTCACACTGACAAGAAGTACAAGAATGAAACAATTGGAAGTTTGTGCTCTATCATATAGTTTCCCAGTCATGCGTGCTTCCTCTGCTGTAAATCTGTTGCTATCTGATCTCTTGACTTAGGCTTAACGGCCCTTCATATGAGCAGCATCTGCAATGGTCAAGAGATCTGTCCCACACAACAGAATTCTTCAAGTCTTAACATTTCAAACCCAGTTCTAATGACCTTCTTATATATA